CATCTCCAAGCAAGTGAGCCACCACCTCCCCCTTTGAGGACCCATGCGCTTCAGCATATCATGGCTTAATTAATGCACCACCATTTGTTATTGTAAAGGAAATGCCTCTTCCCTTTTGTCAGGTCAAGTTTAGGAAATCTGGACTGAAGGAGAACTATTCAGATGTTATTTAATTGAAAAGGATTCTGCTATTTTTTATAAATGGTAAACAACTTTATTTAATTGAAGAATGTTTAAGCATTCTGGATTATTATTTGAATAGTAACATTTTATTATCAATGTAAATAAGTTCCATTAATAAAACTTTTATTTCTTACTCATTTTGGAAAGTTATTTCTAGTGGTGGTTTCAGTCTTGTGCTACCCCATAGGGATCAGGCCACAGAGTATCTTTTATGTAGAAAGGGTTTAATTTCAGTGGGAGAAGTTACAACATACTATAGCTGAGACAAAGCTATTCTATTTCTTTCTCTCTTTTTTTGGCAGGGGGAATATACTCCTTGGTTTTGCCAAAATATATATTCCTTAAATGATCCTGAGTTACTCTTGTACACTGATGTGAGCAAGTTGGTACTTGAAGCAGGCCACTGACTGATTGTAAACTTCAGAGAGGTAGAATCAGGAACTGCCCAAGGAGCCCAGGGAGCAAACCAGTAGGCTTTATAGGCTAAACCTATAATCTTGAATTAGATCCAGCAATACATCAATGACCAGTGTGATTATTTTAACACAGCAGAATTGCCCAATTCCAGTTGGGCAATACTATTCTGTTGTTCTTTGTTGCGGCCTCTGTGCATCACACATATGGGTGCGGCACCTGGGCAGTGCCTAGGCCGGAAGATTAGAAAGCTAATGGTTTTGGCGGGAAAACTCCGCTCCCCTCCCCCTCAGTGGTATAAATAGGGCGGAGTGTCCGCCATTTTACTCAGTCTTTGTGACCGCCGTTCACTGTGCCTCGTGCCTGTTCGTCTCTCGCTTAGATCCTCATGCTCACTGTTCGTTTTACACTTTTTGTATATCTTGTTGCTGTCCTTTTCTTCTGCTCCAAGTTTTTTCTCTTAACCCATTCTTTCTTCAAACCTTTCATTTCTATTAAAAAAAATAAATAAATCTTACCCTCTGCACTATCTTCTCTCTTTCTTTTCGCAATGGCGCAGCGAGCGACTTTCCGCAAATGTGTTGAATGCGGTTCCAAAATGTCACCCGCGGATCCGCATGACCTATGGCTCCTCTGCCTTGGTGAGGGGCATAGAACCGACAGATGCGGCCACTGCTTGGCATTTACCAAGCAAGCTAGGAAAAATAGGGAGAATCGTCTCCGCAAACTTCTATGGGACCAGGCCTTGATGCAATCCGACCAATTGGTCTTAAGGCCTGGCTCCTCTTCGGCCGCACCCTCTCAGCACTCTGCCTCTACCGCTGGCGCGCCTTCGAAGCGCCCTGCCCCGGCTCCTGCCGCTCCTCCACAGCGTCCTTTGGACGAAGGCACCACCTCTATGGAGGCCCAGCAGCTACCTTCTTCCCCAGCCAAAAAATGGGAGAAGTACAAGCATACCGGCTCAGACAAGCCTTCCATGCATAAGAAGCCAAGGAAAGAAAAGGTGGACAAGCCCTCTCGCAAGGGCAAAAAACCCGACCACTCCAAACATTGTGGTTAGGGTTCATCAGGCTTTTCAGTACCGACCGCCGCTGCGGTACCGACTCCCTCGGGATTGGCCCTGCAATCTGCAATGCAGGTGACTCCACCGGGTTCCCCCAGGCAATCTTTCGGCCTGAGAATGCGACTCCTCAACAGCCGGAGGAGCTGCTTAGGGAGTCCATCTCTGATGGAGAGATCAGAGACTCCCCACCGAGGGAATGCTCTCCGACTCCAATGCCCATAGCTGAGCCACCTGCAGACTCACCATCGCCTCCCAGACATCGAAGCTGCTCGTCTGAGCACCGAGATGAGGATTGGCCAATGCCTGGATATGGTGGTTTCCCTAGCTGGGGTAATTACCAACCATATGCCCATTACCTCGGGATCGTAAGTCACCATCGATCCCAAGAGAGGCCCCATCTACGTCGAGGCATATGGAGAGGACATCCAACCTCCCCGGAAACCTCATCTTTGAGTGACTGCCACCACTACCACGAAGACTCGGATGAGTCGGAGGTCAGTTCTACGTCTCCTGATGTGGCTATCACCTCCCAAGGCCCCGCATCACCTGATGAAGCGCATGTCACCTTTGCGGAGCTCATCTCCCGCCTCATTCGGTCTCTGGAGATCGAGGCCCATCATCGCCCCGGTCCCAGTACCGATCATTTTTACGACATCGTCAGGGGAGAGCAGTCCGCAGCCGTAGCCCTTCCACTCATTACGACACTTTGTCAGGCTATGATCCAGCCCTGGGACCAACCAGCTCAACCACAGGCTATATCTCGTCAGTACGAGGCCATGTACTGGGTTTGGAAGGACGACATCCCATTCCTGCTCCGTCACCCAAAGCTGAACTCGGTGGTGGTTGAGTCCTCCCAGGCAGGGAGTCGAGGAGTCACACGGCCCCTCGTGACAAGGAAGGGAGGAAAATCGATATGCTCACACGTTGAGTCTGTGCGGCCTCTGGACTTGGCCTGCGCATATCAAATTATGAAGCAACACTGGTACATTACCAGTACTTCATAATGCAAAAACTGGATAACGTTGCCTCCTCCCATGCAGACCAGCAATCAGACTTGGCCAGAGTCTATAAAGGAGGTGATGCAGGTGGCGATACAACAGCTCTCCACTGCCAGGCACCACATGGAAACTGACTCGAGGGTCCTCGTCAGTGCCATTTCTCTGCGCTGCCACGCGTGGCTATGAAACTGTAATTTTCCAAACGAAATGAAGAGGAGGATCGAGGAAATGCCGTTTGACAGCACTGGACTTTTCCACCAGAAGACCGACCATAAGCTGAAGTCGATCCATGAATCGCGCATGACCGCACGCCGCATGGAGCTTCCTCAGCAAAAAAGTAAGTGGCAATGGCCTCGATCCTCCTATCACCAGCAATATCAGCCTCGACAGCAGTACCAGCAAAGACAGCAACGTTGAAGGCAGCAGCCACAACAATGCTTCTCCCAGGGCCGTCAACGTTTCGACACCGAGAAGCGCCAACGTTGATGGTCTGGGCGGACCATCCTCTCTCTCCACTCCCCACCTTCCCCTCTCCCTTTTGGGGACCAGCTCCAAAGTCAACTCCCCATTTGGGAGTTCATTTCATCTGATACGTGGGTATCATTCAGCTCGGATATAGGATAGACTTCAATGTTGTTCCTCCATCGAGTCCGATTTGTTTTACACCCTGTTCTTTGGTACTATGCGACGAAGTCTACCAACTGCTTCATAAAGGAGCGATTCGACAGCTGTCCCACTCTGAGGGATTGCATGGATTCTATTCCAGATATTTTATGGTCCCGAAAAGGGACGGTGGTCTTCATCCAGTCCTGGACTTGCAAAATGTTAATAGGTACAGCAAACCTAAAAAGTTTCGGATGACCACTTTACAGAATATCTTTCCATTGCTGAGGAGAGAGGACTGGTTCGCCTCACTGGACTTGAAGGATGCTTACTTCCATATTTCCATCCATCCTTCTCACAGGTGCTTTCTACATTTCACTGTCGGATCCGATATATTCGAGGTCAATGTTCTGCCTTTCGGTCTGGCTACTGCCTCTAGAGTTTTCACAAAGTGTATGACTCCGGTGTGCGCACACTTATGGACTCAGGGCATACAAATATACCCATATTTGGACGATTGTCTCATTGTGTCTCAGACTAGACACGACCTTCTCTTAGCTGTACACGAGACTTGCGCTCTACTTGATGATCTTGGACTTTGCATTAACCTCTAGAAATCGTCCCTTATTCCCACACAGGTCATCAACTTCATCAGAGCACGCCTCAATTCTACTTGGGAGAGAGCCTTCCTCCCTCCGAACCATCAACATGCTCTCTGCAGCCACATCCATCGAATCCGAGTACACAGAACGGTACCAGCCATAACCATCCAGAGACTACTGGGACACATGGCTGCTGCAATTGCCATTGTCCCGTACGCCAGACTGTGTCTGCGGCCCATACAGCTGTTCTTCAGCAGATCATTTCACCCACAACGGGATTCTCCCACTAAGCTGATCCGGATCCCGCTGTCGATCCTTTGTACTTTGACTTGGTGGACTATTCCAGACAACCTGTCTACCGGCATTCTGTTCCGACTGCCTCAACCAACAACAACCCTGTACACCGACGCATCCTTACTTGGATGGGGTGCAGCATGTTCAGGACTTCGGGTCTAAGGGACTTGGAACCGACAAGAAACAACGAAGCATATCAACTTCCTCAAACTTCTGGTGATTTTCAACGCTCTAAAATCCTTCGAGACTGTACTATGCGGTCAAGTTGTCCAGATTGCGTCGGACAACATAGCTGCTGTTTTTTACATCAACAAGCAGGGTGGGACAAAGTCACCAACTTTAGCACGTCTATCTATGGAAATTTGGGATTGGTGTATCCCAAGGGGCATACTACTCCTAGCGGTTCACTTGGCAGGAACCGACAACGTAGAAGCAGACACGCTGAGCAGACAGATGTCAACAACCCACGAGTGGGAGTTGGACAGACAAATTCACAAAAACCTCTTCCGTTTATGGGGTTACCCGGACATGGACTTGTTCGCTACCCAAGACAACAGGGTATGCGATTGATATTGTTCGAGAGCGGGTATCGGATCAGGATCGATAGGGAATGCTCTCATGATCCCTTGGGACAACATAACTTTCTACACGTTCCCTCCAATCCCACTTCTGACGAGAGTGGTGTTGAAAATAGTTCAAGACAATGCCACAGGGATATTAATAACCTCGTGGTGGCCGAGGCAACCTTGGTTTACCACTCTCCTTCGACTATCCAGAGGAATGTTTCTTCAGCTCCCAACAATTCCTCCATTGTTAACACAGCAGAACAGAGCGATCAGGCATCCAGATTTGACCTCGTTGAAGCTGACAGCCTGGTACATCAGCTAAACCATATGACTGATTTGATACCGACAACATCTCAAGCAATGGAGGACCTGGCTCAACGAACTGTACAAACGGCTCCTCCCTCGAATTCGACAACAACCGCTTCGATACCGACAGCTTTCGATCAAGAAATTCAAGCGATTCTCGAATCTGCCTTGAGACCATTCACCTGTCGGTCTTATGTGGCGAAATAGAAGAGATTCTCATCCTTTGCTGAATGCCATTCGTTTCCTCCTGGGATGGCTTCGATTGAGAACATCTTACAATTCTTCCTGGAACTGTACCACTCAGGACTTAAACCATCATCCATTAAAGTTTACGCAGCTGCCATGTCACATTATCGTGGCGCTGTACAAGGCTCATCGGTCTTCTCTCAACCTCTGGTTCGGCGTTTCATTAGGGGATTACAGAATTTACATCCTTCCATCCGACCTGCTATGCCAACATGGAGCCTTTCCGTAGTACTTCAGGCGCTTACAAAGCTCCCGTTCGAACCTCTGGCGACCGTTGACCTATGCCTTGTTTCTTGGAAAATGGCCTTCCTTATAGCAATCACATCAGCTCGGAGAGCTAGCAAACTTTGTGCTCTTCGAATAGACTCACCGTATTTGAATTTCCATAAGGAAAAGGTCGTTCTTCAGATGGATTCAATGTTTCTGCCTAAGGTGGCTATGCCGTTCCACATGAGTCAAGAGATTGTTTTGCCTGCGTTCTTTCCATCGCCTAGAACAGTCTCTTCACACGCTCAATGTTCAACGTTGCTTGGCTTTTTACAGATCTCATACAGAACCCTTCTGTCGTTCTAATAGACTCTTCATTAAGTATTCCGAGCATGACAAACCCTATTTATACCACTGAGAGGGAGGGGAGGGGAGTGGAGTTTTCCCGCCAAAACCGTTAGCTTTCTAATCTTCCAGCCTAGGCACTGTGCAGGCGCAGCACCCGTATGTGTGAATGCACAGATGGCCACTTGAAGAACATCAGTTACAAGTAAGCAACCTGCTTTTTCCAGGTTATCTTCATGGACAACCCTACTTATGCGGCATTATAATCATGTAATTGTTAATAAATTACCCTTTGATGCCATGCAGTTAAAAGAATCTTAATATTTCTTAAATAGTTGTTACAAATGAAATTAACAAAAAGTCTTATAGCTACATAAAGACTTGAAAATTTATTATGACTTCAGCTTTTGTGGACTGCAGTCTACTTCAGCAAGTAAAAGAATATTACTTAAAAGAAGTTTGCATCTGGACAGTAGGTCCATTAAAGCTTAATTCCATAATAAATGCATTTGTCTTTAAGTACCATGGTTGACAATCTGTACTTTTCAAAGCATACCACTGTATGTATTCAAGCACCATGCTGCCTGTGTTGTTGTTCATGGACCTGAATTTCCCCATTTCTTCAGTGTAGCCAGGGCTAAGATAGCCTCACATCCCAGCTTTGTGAAAACAGTGCAGATTGGATATGCTGAAGATGAAAGAGCTTTTCTACCTGAAACAATATAATCTGCCTGATAATTATGCCTAATTGCTGAAGGGAATGACTTGGTTCACATGGCATGCATTGTGGATAATTAACCACAGTAGGTTGCTATATCATGTGAGCCTGGACTACTTCCTACAGGGTGGCTTGTTCTTGGGCATCGTGCTACCCTAAGAACCTTCTGTGGTGGTTGAACTCACAGTGGATTGTCATGTTGTCTGAACCCAGGTGAGAAACCCTATCATGGGTCCAGGGAAACAGCATGCAGGCTTTTTGGTAAGCTCATTGGACCACCACCAGTGACAGCTGTTTCAAGCAATGTTCAAGTGGAACTTTGGAACAATTTGCACTGGCTCAATCTCCTTGATCTGTTGATAACCCGTATTTAGAGAGAAGTATGCACCCCTCAGAGCAGTATATTTCTCTGTTTAGCCCTGTAAAAACACTGTTTTAGTAGAAACTCTTTTCTTTTAACAACTGTCAAAATTCAGTGTTTCCATAAATGGGATGGAATGTATTTTTCACCTTTCCCAAGAACCTACAGTCTTGTGAAATAACAGACTGAGGGTTAGCAAAAAAAGAAACTCTCTTGTTTAGCAGCATGCTTTTTTTTTTAATTAGATGGAGATCTTATTCTGTAGGTCAAAGTATGCATCTGCAATTGGATAATTATCTTGAAGTTTTTGATCAGGTTGGTTACATAAGTAGAGGAATTGGGATCTTTGTCCTTCTATATACCAGAGAGGCACGTGTATGCAAATTGAATGAGCTTATGGTTGCTGAAAAGCAATCTTATTTTCTGATAGGTGTGTGGGTTTAAGCATGGTGATTTAATCCAATGAACAGTATAGAGCTGTGTGGGTCCTACTGTTGGTTATGAAATTAGGGTGATTGTAGACTTATTTATTGCATTCATACACAGCTTCAGTGATGAAATCTTTGTTAACCTTTGATACTATCCTTAAGCAAATCAGTACTGCCCTATTCTTGCCTCAGTTTTCCTATATATGAAAAGAGGACCATGTTTCATCCTTAAAAGTTAAACTGCAGCTATATACTTTTAGTTAAAACATTGTGATCCAATTCTGGCTATCTAGTGTAGTGTGCTTATTTTGGGCTGCTGGATAGACTTTCTAACATGAAGCTGAATTAGGAAGCCTATACATTTAGGAATAAAACACATTGAGAATTATGGGTAAAACCATGTAATCCTTCTGTGTACTCTCTCTCACTTGTAGATACTTGTCTGCCTTGGCGTATTTGTCTGCAATGCATGCATGTGCCAGTATGCTGGTGTTGCACAAGATATGCAATTGTCTTAAGGGTGGAAGGATATGCATGCAACATTTTAAAAGATACTATATAGCCAGAATCAGTTTCTGTTTTAAAACCTCTATTAGCAAATTGACTTCAGTGCCTCTTGCTGAGAAATTATGCTTTGAAATCTTGTAGTCGGCTGTAGGATTCTTTTCAAATATACATTGGTACCTTGGCTCACGAACTTAATCCATTCCACGACTCTGGTTGTGACCCAGGTGGGTTGTGAGCCAAGTCAAGTTTCCCCATAAGGTTTAATGTAAATAAGGTTCATCTGTTCTGTAACTATTTTTTTAATCACAAAAATTTGAAGCAAAGTGACAAAGAACAACAAAGATTGAGCACAAGCGCTGCCATCTCCCCCCCGCCCCCCAGCATGACCACAATTGTGTTTGTCTTCACTGTCCAAGTGTCGGGCATGATGGTGGTCGCGCTCAGGCAGGGAAGTCAGGCGTAATCAAGGCTAGCTCCCCCCGTCCCCCGCACACTTCTTCAGTTCTTTTGCATGATCAACAGCAGGAAAAGGAGCCCAATTTGGCTAGATTCCATTGCCCCCAAAGACCAAGCTGCTGGGCTGTATGGCATTAAGGAGTAAGGGCTCCTTAATGAGTGATGCCTTTTCACTCATTATCCTTTTCTTGGCATGGGGAGGAGCGCAGAGCTCTCTGCCTCTCTCTCGGGAGTTCATGCTGGCAGCAGTCCTGTCCACAGTATTGCTCTAGAGTTATGTGCTATGTCTGTATTACGCATTATAGTCATATGTTACACAAAATGCTGGCTATTCCAGCATTTTGGGGGTTATTTAACCTTTGCCCAACTTCTGTCAGCTCCCTGATCTTAGAGGTCCCACAGCTTCTTGCACCAAACTGAATTTTTGACACTCATGACATGTAGTGAGGAGACAGTACCATGAGCAAAGAGGCCAATCTCAGTGAGCTTAGATACACTTAAATCATGTGAAAGATTCAACACAGAACTACTCGAATGTAGGGAAAGAGTTGCAATTAAAGTTGAATTGATTGTACTGATACCTGGTTAGAAAATCTTGTATTCCTTTGCAGGAAATATCAAAAATAAAATTACCAGGCAACTCAGTTAAACAAGTGAATTCTAACATTTGAAGAGAACCCCACATTGTTCTTAGATGTTAGTACCAAGTCACTGGTGGGAAAGTTTGCTGTCATGCCAAATTAGTCTGCAGTTCATATATTTGTGATTCTTCACAGAAGCATGTATAATGACAAATAATTAAAATAATTAAATCAATGGAATAGAAAGTACACAATCAGAAGCCTCAGGAAGTCCCTCATGTATTTCATTTGCCTTGTATTTGTTGAAGGCTCCGGTCTGTTGAAGGATGACGTGCTGTGTTTATGGAGGTCTCCACTTGAGACAAGATGCTGACTTTTCAGGACTAGCAATTGACTTGTAACAGTTACTTTGGCAAAGTGGTTTTATTTCTCATGAAAATAACATGAGAAAACCAAGGAAACTTTCTTCTGTTGTGAGAAGTGTTCAGAAACTTCAGCTGCTAAAAATGTGCAGATTGGACTTGTCTGATGTATACTTGGCAGTTGATACTACACCATCTCTATATCAACATTCCTGGTTTGTTTCCAGGCAAAGTTAAAGGTGCTTTGCCTTTGCTGGGTTTGTAACCCATTAATATGTCCATAATTTATTATTATAAAGCCTTTTATATGTTTCAGTACCTAGTGAGACAGGACTGATAGGTACTAAGGGCAGGATCTTTTCAGTGAGGTTGGTTCTCACATTACTATGCTTCAGATGGGCAATATATATATTGTCTTCCATCAAAATTTGATGTTTTGATGCTTGATGTTTTATTTCGTTCTTTAGGGTACAGTCCTGTGATGATGCCAGTAAGCCCCCAAAGTTAGAAGCTTATGATCATCCAATGCAGAATAGGATTGACAGAGGTACTCTCTCCTGCTTCCTGCAGCTAAGGCATATTGGAGGTAGAGGGAGAGGGGCTGGAGAGGGCTCAGGATTGCTGACATCCTAGCCTCATGAGTTGCCACCCCTACCTGCACCCTGAAATATTTCCCTTTTTCCTTCCTCAGGGTTGCTTTTATGACTGTGGAGAATAGCTGGTACATTCTGTCCATGTTGGCTGTGATGGAGAGAGGAAATTGGAGCGCTGTCTCCAGCTTCAGATCTAGAAATCCAAATGCAGCGTTTCTCTAGAGTCCATAGTACTTACATATTGCCATTATGAACCAAAGGATTTTAGAATTGAGAACAGCTGTTTCATTTGATCATTTGGTAGTACAGCTATCAATAATTGACTGAAATTGATGTTTTGTATGGATGAATACTTCTACATATGACTATTAGTGGGAAACAAAAGGTGTAATGGAGGATCTTAAGTAACAGGTTTTTACATTTTGGATGTTTTGTGTGTGCATTATTTCTTTGGATTGGTTTTCCAGATGTATTGCAAAACCCTGTGCTGTGTGTCTTGACATTCAAGATGGTGGACCTTGCAGAGCTCAGCCCAATGCAATTCTAGAAAAAGTGTTTACAACTATTACTAAGGTGAGTGTGCCTTCAGAAATTGCTTGGGAGCCATAAAATGGGTAGGGGAAGGGGTTCGGAACCATATACACCATCTCCAGTTTCTTGGAGGAAAAGTGAGATACAAATGTAGCCCAAAAGATTTCTTTATTCTTGCTGTTGTAATTCATGGAGAAATACACTTCTTGCTATTCTTTTGCATATGATATTATGCTTTTCCCCCACCCTTATGTCTGCATGTGCATTTGTTGTGCAAGAGTCAACAAATTTTACCAGAGTTTAGTAGCCACTCTTTGTTATGCCTGCCAGCCAATTGTGAATCTTCTGTTCCTGCAGTAACAGTAAACTAATTCCTTGAGAAGTCAGATCTTAACACAAATCACAGGTAATAAAAGGAAGGCAGTTTTTTTAATTGTCTTTTTTTGTAAAGAGTAGGTTTTGGGGTCATTCATAGTTTCAGCACAAAAATCAGTCTTTCGCAAAGGAAGTATTATGCGTTAAGTGCCCATTTCCCTGGAACAAATGTGAGAGTTGGCAACATTAAAACAGACCAAACAGAAGAACAATATTTGAAAAATGAAATAAAATACAACTGTCAAAACAGGCTTCACTGATGTTCAAAAGAGCAATTATCTTCAAGTAATTTAACCATAAAGTAATCTAAGGTTATTCCTTGTATGTAGGTTGACAAACTTCACCTGGATTTTAATCATTACCTCATTCCTTCTTGTGCAAGATTAAGTAAATTTGTTCAGGATACTGAAGCCAAGAGACATACACCGTAAAGCTTCTGCCACATAGTCAGCACACAGCACCTGTGCTAGGGACGTAGATGCACACTTCAATACAGTTTTAAACCCCTTTCTCCTCCCCCACACCCGCACCCAAGTTGTAAGCAGTACAGTGTCCATTTTGTACAAACTCCGGATGTTTTAATCTGTATGTTAGATTTCCTTCCATCTCTGTCGATCTGTGACTCCACCTTCTCCAGACCTAATTGCAAATGTAGCAAAATTATATTCTTGGAGGTTGTTTCTTCTGCTGTAATCAGATTTATGCTAAGCTGCATTATGCCCACTCCCCATTTGCCCCATTCCACTGTAAAACATTTTGAATGTTTTCTGTTCCCAGCTTTGTCCTCTGCTTTTATCTCTGTGTCTCTTGATGCTGCCATTGCACAATAGTGGCAATGGTGCAGTGACCTAAAGAGGATACATACCAGGGCTGCAAACCCTTTTGGTTGACTTTCGCACCCACCCCAGCACCAAGCACAATCGCTCTCTTTCCTAACCCAGTTCAAAAACATGCTGTGCAGACACACACTCCACTTAAAGATCTGTCAGTAAACAGATCTTTTTCCTATTGCTGCATTGCATACCTACCATTAAGCTCACAAGGCATACAAATGCAAGTATGGACTGCAAATCCTTTATTCTCCTGTGGCTGTACAAGGGCAGGCTCTCATGCATAATTAGACATTCCTGAGCCCCTCATGATCTAGCCCCAGGGATTGTAACTAGCCAGAGAAAAACGTTTGGCTTTATTTGGCAAGCTGGCAAGTGTTTGTGTCAGAGCCCGGTCTTGTGTGTTTATATGTAATAACTTTTACTAGTAAATATTTGGAGTTGAAAGGTAAGTTAAAGGCAGTGGAACTGTATGTACCATCCCCTGGAAATATGCTCTTATTATGCATAAGAGATTTTGGTGACCAGAACAGTAACAACACCTGTATAACATGGTCCAAAGTGGAGGTCTAGGGATCTAGATCAGGATTGTGTCCAAAAAGGAGAGTTGGGCAGGCTTGGTTTCACCTTGTGAGTGGCCAGGAGTGCTAGGCTAGCCTTCCCCTAATCACAGCCTCTACTTGTAGATCTCAGGAATTCTCCAATTCAGTGGAGTTCTCAATATCCTGACTATAATTCTGTGTATATCTTCAACTGAAACAAGACAAACTGTTCCTTTCAATATAATAAACGGTGTAATTTTCCTGTAGTTCTTTCCTGTTCATTTGTTATTTCTTTTTTTACTTTGAAGTAATTCTTCTTCCATGGCAACTATTCTTATGCTGTCATTCACTTATCTGTTCAGTTTCTTAGAACTCTACAATAGGTTATCATGGTCACAATAGTATTTAACTGAAAAAGTACTATACAGTACTGACAATTTTACCTTAATGCTGAAACTAGTTTATCTTAAAGGTTTATAGATTTATGTATTTTCCCATAGCATGGATGGATTACAGAAGCTGGCTTAGTGAAAGAGTATACACATAGTGATATAAGCCATGATTTAGCACACTGCACATGACCCAAAAGAATTTACACAAAGTCTTAGGCCCACATGCTTCCTGATTCCTTCCCCTCCTTCTCCCACATTATCTAGAAGAAGAATGAGACAGCATTCAAGTTCAATTTACCAGTTGAATAATAATTCATTCCCTGGTGTCCTAGTTGCTATGGAGTCCCTAAAGGGTAAAAATTACCTTGTTTGCAAGCTAAATTTGAATCTTTAGGCCCTCTGTAAGTACTACAGATACCTGAAATTTGGAAGGTAGTGTGGGGCAGTCGAGGCCACATGTGGCCTATGTGTTGCCAAGCTCAATGCAGACTTTTGCTAAGAATTTGTTTTTCAAACAGATTATTTAACCATGATTACTTTTCCTAGCAAAATACTGTCTGTACAATTCCAGATAAATTACAGCAGGTTGTGGATCGAAGCATAATTGGGGAAGAATGGAAAGACTCTGTTTTGGAAGGTTGCTAAGGAACGAAAGAAATCTCTTTACATCTATTTGATCACCTCCTAGTGTCCGGATGCAAGAAGGTTAGAGGGATTGTCAAAACAACTAGATTGGGATGTCCGAAAAATCCAGCGCTGGTTTCGCCATCGGAGGAACCAGGATAAACCAAGCACCGTCATGAAGTTCTGTGAGAGCATGTAGGTTTGTGTGCAGTCCACCTCTTAATAGCTTCAGTTGTTTCTTTTTTAAAATTGACATGTTGTGGTCTCTGAATCTTTGATCAAAGGTGGTCTTTAAACAGTTGGCTAATTAACAATCAGCAAATAGTATGAAAAATTTGCTTATTATTTGCAAAGGCATTTGGATATTTGTTTAGCACATCCAAACTATTGGGTACAACAAAAAGTTCCTGGGTAGATACATCTCTTCCAGTTTGTCAGTGCCACCAACTCATATTTAGTAATGCTGGCAGATCACTGAGGCAACTGTCAATCTATTTGCAGGCTTTTAATCTTTTGAAATTATTTTTCAAAGAACTTCCTTGAATTTTTCCTGAACTTTTATTCCTTTTCTGTCCTACTTAAATTTATTTTCTTACCCTTTTCTGCATGGCTTCTATCACTGTAGTATCTGAGCAGCTTTGCCTTCCTGCCTGCTACTTTTATGGCTTCTACTTCTCTTCCTCAGTGGCTTCTTCCCCAAGATACTTGTCTTAGGTGAGTCGGAGTTTCATTTGACCTCCAGCTGTCTTTGGTCTATATTCTAAATTGGAAACTGGTTAATGTCTGATTGGGTATTTTTAACGTGTGTCTACTAGATTAGTGAACCTTGTGGGTGTCAAGACTACTGAATTGCCACGTGTAAACTTTTTTTGTTACTTGCACTAGTGGGTCTGTGTATTTAAAAATCTTTTAATGGTCATTTTATGGAATTAAATGTACACCCCTGAAGCACATTCATTTTTAAAATAATGTTACAGAGGTTGGTGGTGTTTAGCTGGTCATGAACAGAACATTACAGTTTTCAGAGGACAAATTATATGCTTGTGAGTTCTAGATTTGCTTCTGTTTCATGTTGGTCTTGGCTCTTACTACACCCCTGCTTAATGAACATTAAGATTTTAATGCCAGCTGTTTAATTCCTTTCTGTTTATCATTTTCAGGTGGAGGCTTATATTTTATTTATGTATATTTTCCTATGGATTCAGATTTCTTTGGTCGGTGAGTGTTTGGTGCTCAATTTATACTAAGCAAACCTGAAATTACAGATTTGCCTGACCATTTCGTACTTCCCTAGCATTTTTAATTGAATTCCCGCTTCCCCATTTAATTACTTCTAGCAGTCCAGAAAGGATAGCCTTTATATCATGCATTACAGAAAGGCTATGTTTCCTTGTTTCTCAACAGAGAACCAGGCATACAGATTTGTGATTTATTATAATGCTCTTTGTTGTTCTGTGGAAAGGGTGCTGGTCCTTCTCCTTTGGTTGTTCTCTTGTAGTGGTTTTTATGTGCCTGTGTATAGCACTTTTCTTTTAATAAATGAGAAACAGCACATTTTTGCCACTTCAAATCACTGCCATACAGCACAGCTACAGATGAGGTCATTCATAAGACCAGTTTATTTGGATAGTGCCCTGATTATAAGGAATACTTATTTACCGTATCACTGAACAGTTTGCTTTGCTCCCAGGTTACAAAAGCAAGCAGAGTAAATCAGATCTTGGAATAAATAATAGACCAAGAGTGAGAATCCAAATAAAGGTATTAACAGGTTCATGCAGGGCAAAAAGCATATATGACGCTTACGAATTATGTTAGCAGGTTATTTGTCAAGAATAGTATGAACTTTTTCCCCCAAACCATAAAAAAACAGTCTTTTTAAGAATTGTCTTCTAGGTACTATCTTGAATAGGATGCATTGCCGTGACAGACATGAGGATCTTGGCAAACTATGTCATTTAGTTCTTTACTAGAAGGATGAAAATTACATTATTCAATAACAAGCAGTTAAAATATCAAGGTGGAATCCAGTGATGCTATTCCACTTGTGACATAGCATTTGAAAAACTGAATGCCTCTGCTAATGGAAGGAGCCCAATTCCTTCCCCTTTGTGACATCCTTTCAAGTACTTGTAGAGTGCATATCTCCCCATAGTCTTCTCTTCTCAAGGCTAAACAAGCCCACTTCTTCTCACAGGGCTTTGTTTTCAGTCCGTGGACCATCCTTGTTGCTCTCCTCTGAACCCTTTCCAGTTTGTCTGCATTTTCTTAATCTGCTTTGCTCATCTGGAGACACAGTACTGGAGATGAGGCCTAGGCAAAAGGAAACTAGTATTTCACATGATTTGGAAGTGATATTTTTATTAATGCAGCCTAAAGAGCATTTGCCCTTTTTTGCAGTCTCATCACATTGTTCATTCATATTCAGCTTGTGATCTCCAACAGTTCTAAGATCCTTCTCATGTGCAGTATTGTTGAGCCAGGTATTCCCATCTTGCAATGATGTACTTGGTTTCTTTGCCCCAAGTGGAGAACTTGGTGTTTCTCCCTATTGAATTTCATTCTATTGTTTTCAACCCAGCATTCCAGCCTGTCAAGAGCACCATGAATCTTTTGCCTATCTTCCAGGGTATTAGTTATCAGTTGAGCCAAATATTCCCCATCTTGGTACAAACTTTGCAGAAGTCAAGATTTATTATGTCCACAGCATCCCCAAATTCCATCAGGGAGGTTACCCAGTCAAAATATGAAAAAATTCTGTTCTTGAGCTGCCAAGGGCAAGGGGAATCGGCATATTTGAGCGTCCTTCTATCAGCAGAGGCACCTACTGATCAAAAGTAGAATGACACCAATGGATTCCACCCCAGATATTAATCAATTAAAGATGAAGGCCTAGCAGTTTCTACTATTATTCAGCACACCTCACTGGTTTGTGCCAATGGGTATATGGAAAGAATAATTTGGAGTACAGTGAACACTTTGGAGTATGAACTCCATTGTCTTTTTGGATCTGGAGATGAAGAGTAACCATGGTGCCATCTTAACAGAAAGTAGTCTGACAACTCCAGCATTCTCCACCTATCCATGCTAATTGGGCAAATGTAGAATGAGTAAAAATAGAGTTTGCTAACTTTCCAATTAACAAGATACTCTACTTGTTTGCTTTATTTATTTATTTATTTATTTATTTATTTATTTATTTATTTATTTATTTATGAGACTTCTATGCCGCCCCATTCGCTGAAGCCTCTGGGCGGCTCACTCTAACATGGATGATGACCCTTCAGCGTAGGGGGACCCAAAACAGAGTGATCCAATAATTTTAACCTGCATATTTTTTCAAATTCTTAGTTTAAGAGGGATTAGAGCCTTATTTGGCATCCTGAAATATCTTGTAGGAGAAACTAGTATCTCCTGATACTGCTGTATAGTGGAGGGATCCCCAGCACGGTGCTCATGGGTACCGTAAAAACAATTTAAAATCTCTCCTCCCCACACTTTTATGTGTACATGGAGATGTATGAAGTGCACACAACATTCTAACAATTCTAACAGGCTTCAACAGAAGTGGACCAAATAGATATTCATTTGAAAGTGATGTCTGTGAACCATTTTCCATGTAGCAAAAGTGTTGTAAGCATCAGGGACTGCTGCTTTGCCTCCCACTACGGAGAAGTCTCAGAGCCAACATTTGAAATAACTAACTGTATTTTTGAAAAACGATGCAAAGGAATGAGTTTTTCTTCAGGCTATGCAGTAGGTCAGATTACAAACAGGAGTTGTAGCAATAGGAGTGGCTACCTTTATCAAATAAAGCAGCCCATGGAAAGAACGTTGACCCAAGATAGATGGGAAATGATTAGTCCTCCCATTCTGGCTATCAGTACCATCCATATTTTGCTATTAGGGGGAAACTTTTACTGGGGGAAAATTGAGCAGCAAATATCTTTGCATGGCATGTTAACCTAAGCTGATCTCTCCCCTCATTTAATGCCTAACCTTGGGGACTGTAATTTCTAGTGCCTCTTCCCTCTCCTACTGCAGTATTTTCATTTCCACCGTTTCAGAATAGCTTTTGAGGTTATTCCACACATTCCCATGTAACTCCATCTGCTGTGACCTTGAAACACCTGCCATATCAGTTACCTTCTCAGCCATCTCATCTGAGTCAAAATCAAACTCTACCTTTTCTTCAGGTGCCTTTGCAAAGGTACTAAACTTGACCCTCATAGTAAAGACAACAGTCCATTCCATTATAGGAGCCAAGTATTTATTCTTTCAGTTTTGTAATATCAGTCTACTTTCAGGAATGCCCAAAGAATCCATTTTCTCTTCTGTTTGTTAATTTATGTGAAGCAGGTAAATAATTTAAAAGAATGTATACCTCAGTGAATAAAGACTGTTCAGTACAACATTTAACTGTGTAATAACCTCCTCCTAAAAAGAAACAAGTACTGGATGTTGCCAAAATGTATCTTTAATGGAAGTATCGGTACTGCCATCAATTAGCTGAATTAGATCATCTCTTTCTAAAGAGGCATTGCAATGTCCAATAGAAACAAAAGGTTTCATGAATAACACACAGAAGATTGATACATGCAACCAAAGTTGCAATCCACTGATTAGGCATCTTGTGCCCATGAATCCAGAAAATTTAGGGAGCCTTCCTGTAGTTCATTAGAGATGTGACTGAATGTAAGAGTGCAATTTTTTTTATTCAGCATCCTTAACCTATTCCTCAGAGGAACATCCCAATGACTTGGCAGCTGCCCTGTCTCCTTTCTTCACTTCCTTCAGGTTATCCCATCTCCAAAATCTGGGTTTGAAGGATTGTTTATTCCTGTAGAAAGTCCTTATTCTTTTTACAATCCTGTAGGACTCAAAAGTGAGTCTAGACGCAGAATAAATTAAATAACCTAAATGTTTTCCAACAATATTTATTTATTACATGGTTATAGCTGAAGCTGTCTTGTATAATAGATTTTTTTCTAGCTAAAAGAAAATTAATCTCTCTCTCTTCCTCTTCCTCTTTCATAGTCACCCTGGTTTTGGGATACACGACAATGCTGGTACAACTATCCTTTTCAGGTATGTGTCAGTTTTACCGTTACATGCTCGTAGCAATGCTATGCTAAGACAGTTTAGAAGATGTTTGGCCCTTTGTTGAGTATGAGTGTACAATTTCGCAAGACCTTCAGATTTTGCCTAGTAACTTACTTTGTGAGCCAGCAGTTTGCCTTAGAGACACTGATGAACAGAATGTTCCTGTTTGCAAGGGCTTATCCATTCACCTTGATGGAAGGCAGTTCCAAGAACATGGAACAAATGTCAAAATGAATAAGGCCTCCTGAACTAACCTTTATATAGGTGCATGTTACATGCCATGGAGTTCTGATTCATGAAAGCCCATGCATGGGATTTGCAGTGTATTGTCCTGGTTATGTTGAAAGGGAGATTCTAGGGATATAGGTCAGGTCTTTTCCATTGTCATTATATGCTTTGTCAAGCATCTCATTTTTGCCCCTCCTTGGAATTGTCTCTTTATCATAAGATTTATAATGTATTTGAGTTAAATGAAGGAGGCAATTATCAATTACTAAAGGCCTGTCATATTTGACAAGATGGGACAAAGAGACTTGAGTTCTTTCTGCTTTTCTTACCGCAGGCTGCAGCTGCTTTTTAACTTCCCATCCACTGTTGAAGCCACTGCCTCAGAGATGGTTTGGCTTGTTCCCCCCCCCCCCCCCCCCCGAGATCTTAATTTGCTCTCTGTTCCTTGAAACTAAACCAGGCATTTAGGATATGAGGAAGCCTAATGCTGTTCCTAGCACCCAGTAGCTGCATTTATGATAAAGATGGAATGCAGGAGGCAGTTCTCTGTGTTAGCCCTTTCTCTCATCTCTCTTCCTGATTTTAGGGGACATTAGAAATACCATCACCTCCCAGTAGTGAAAGAGCTGTAGTCTGGAAGTGGAGGAGATGCAGTTCTTTCTCTCAGGCATCCTTGATGGTGGTGGTCAGGCAGTCAGATGTCAGGCATAGTGCAAGTTTTTGCTGTTGTCTCAGCATTTGGCTTAAGTGGAAATGATAGTTGCTTCGTTTATGTTAAGGGCACAGCTAAACATGTTGGACGATTTGTGGTCAAATCCCTTACAGTCTTAAAAATGTAACAGCAACTGTATGCAAGGAAGTCAGGGTGGGAGTGGTAAGACAGAATAGCTTCTTTGTTATTAAAATAATGGAAGCTTACGTTCAGACTTGTCTCATGTACAGAGTGGAAGGAGATCAGTTCCTATTAGTTCAGTCTTTAAATAGTTTTTTATGCAGATGTCTGATGACTCTTTTAAACAAACCTTTCTTTTGATTTTTCAGTCCATAACACCTGGTCTTTACTACTATTATATCACACAGCTTGCCTTTTACTGGGCTCTTATGTTTTCGCAGTTTACAGATATAAAGCGAAAGGTAAGAAATAAGCCTGTTTCCAGAAGCCATGTGACCATCCCTTCACTCTTTCTCAATGAAAAGAATCAGTCCATACCTAGCAATAGAATGACCAGTTATATCTATGAATAAAACATACTTTGATGATAGGACTTTCATCAAAATGCAAACTTGTTATAATTGTATGCATATGTGTGTGTGTGTGTTAAGATTGCTCCTGTGAGGCTGGATAAGCATTTTATCATTTTCTAGCTGCTGGGCTGGTTGATTGAAAGGTTGACAGTTCAAATCTGCAAATGGGGTGAGCTCGTAGATAAAAAGGTACCACTTTGGTGGGAAGGTAACAGCATTCTGTGCACCTCGGTGTTTAATCATGCTGGCCACATGACCACGGAAACTGTCCGGGGACAAATGCTGGCTCCCTTGGCTAGGAAATGGAGATGAGCACTGCCCCCTGGAGTCAGACATGACTGAACTTTAATGTCATGGGAAACCTTTACCTTTTAATAGAAGAATCCCTCTGCATGGTTTTTTATATTCTTGATTTGGCACTTCAAAGTTAACTTGGAAACCTGGGAGGTGGTTTTAGGAGAGCTTAAAAAAGCTTTTCTTCATCTGGAAACATTATATTGAGTATGTCTGGACCTTCTTGAGTGTCCTGCAGCAAACAGCTACCTCTATCTACAGGACATTGCTTTTGGAGGTCCAGTGTGACTGTGGATGTGGTATGTGTACAGCATATACTGTGAGGGCCAGGCATGTGTCTAGACTTTTCAAAACTGTCCAGGTGAGTGTCAGTAGTCTTCTGGTCACATTACTCAGTCATATGATTCATTCTCGCTCCACACTGTCCTTTTCTATGGGCATACTGTTAATTCTTTCAGGACAAAGTCAAATTCATGTTTTGATAGAAAAAAGACCTGCATCCCTCAGCCAGCTCCAACGTGATCCTCTAGCATTCCGCATTCTTCAAACCTGTTTCTTCTGTCTGTTCTCATTTCAGAATTGATAGGCTTCTGCGTTTTGATCATCTTCAATGAGACAGATATTAGTTGTGATTTAGATGCTTTGATAGTTTGATCATGCCAATTGATTATATTTTCAGTACTGTTCAAGAGTTTTTGAAATCTTTGATTATAGAAGAAATTTAATACTTCTCTGATTGTTAAAAGCAGAGTTCTTAAAATCATACAGGCTGTTTCCCTGTGTAAGTTCAAGGAGGCCATGGTGATAGAGGAAACAGCAAAAATAAAAAGCAACTGAAAATTAACTGATTAAATAAAAACATGTAGACTAGATATGTAGAGAAAAACATATCTCCAGTAAAAAATCCTAGATGCAAAAAGAATCGTTATACCTTCTGTATGATGCTGTGTTTAACAAAGAAAACAAAGAAATTTGAAATTTAAAGAAACATTAAAAAGAAAGATTGAAGCCCCAAACTGCAAACACTGACTAGGTTCACACAACAAAGCCAACCCACATGCAGTATTGAATATAGGTTGAATGTGGGGCTATTATTGAACCTTAAGTTGTAGTGTTGTGTGAACCCAGCCATTGGCAGCATTTCCATGGTTTAGTGCAACATGGTTTAGTGCAAACTAGAATGAATTCCCTTCTCTCTCCTTCTCTCTTGTGTCTGTGGGGAAACATTCAGAAACTTTTGTTTTTTTGTTATCTATACCTTATCCCATCATCTGCAGCAACAAGCTATGATCAACCCTAACCATGGTTAGTTTTAAATAAGCCAACCTCAAACCTTGATTTCTGATGTTTGCTTAATGAAGCTTAACATAATTTCTGGTTCAAACAACATGGCAAATTGCAGTTAACTAAAAGCAACCACAGAAATTTCCAGTCACTTTATCCTTGGCTGTGGAGAATATAGAACCTGCTCTACTTCAGCAAAAACACTACATTTGAGCCACTCATATGGCTTAATCTAGTCAAGAATGCTGGTCATGATAAATTGTTGCATCAAGAGAGTTGAGTTGCTCAGTGGAGAAATGCACATGGCAAAAACAAGGTGCACTATTCCTTGACTTCAACCACAGTATTAGGGAAAGTCAGACTGATGTAACCTTGCCTACTGCTTATCCAGCTTTTCCACGTGGATATGAATGGAGTATGGAGTGGTGAGGGCAAGCACTTGATTAGGCCTACCTGCCTAATTAAATTCACAAAGGTGAAACTGATGCTGTGAGAGTGATTGATGTCTCCTTGTGGAAAGAGTTTTTATCTTGCCTAAAAGAGGCAGTAATAACACCTTTGTTTAAGAAACCTCCTCTTGGCCCAGGAGATCTAACTATAGGACTAATCTCAAATGTGCTAACCACCAATTGTGCACTGGCTTCCTGACTTTTGTGAAATTTTCCTCCATTCTAAAAAGTTGGTATGGGACTCCTTACTGGTAGTGAGGGCCTTAAGCTACAGTATGCTGGTTGTTTTGTATTTTGTGCTTTCTTTGTCTTAGGCCCTGCGCATTACTGGAATGTATCTCCTCCAAGTTATTTGATTCCCCAACATTTAATTTAGTCCTCTGGCTCAAAGAGTATTTCCATCACTAGTCTATAGCGCCCCACCCAGCTGAACCTTATCTTCCATCTCTGTGTGTGTGCGCGCATGTACATATGTATATAGATATGTGCATGTGAGAAACCTCTGATAGTAATTTGGCACTTTGAGAGCAAAGTGCTACCAATAGATTGGTGATGCCCAGCTCTGTTGCTCATCTCTTAACAGAAAGGAAACAGTTGGTGTTCTTGAACTTGTCTGAGTTAGATAATGGGCTGGATGAGGATGAACAGCTGAGGTTAAACTCAGACAGTGGTGACATCATCATCAGATTTGTAAGGAGCAATATCAGCTAAGATAAGCACTGTTGCAAAACAGAGGAAATGGCCTTGATATTTGAGTGGGAAAGGATAACGCTTCTAGAACATGGTGATAGTTATGTACATGAAGCCCAACAAATAAGAGAGAAACCTACCAGTTTTTTTCAGACTATTTTTTTCCTGACAAATTGGACAAATGGATTATTTCCTTTTAGTATTTAAGAATGTTAATATATAGTTATCCAGCTTTTACTATCCTCCCCCACAATTGCTAACAACTATGTAATCACAGTTTTATAGAAAGACTAGAGATACAACATGTCTGGATATAATGAAACCATCTGGAAATTTTGAAAAAAAAATCTGTGTAAGGTGCACACTGTAATTATTTATTCCATTCCTTACTAAAATTAAAGATCTAATATATCATTTAATGATAGACATTCAGGGATGCTCCAAGTTACTCTCAGTTTTTCAACATGTGAGTAAAATGACCATATAATACAGTCATTGGAAGGAAATGTGCAGTTTGGGATTAGTTCTACAGAGTTCTGTGTTTCTTGGCTTCTTCTCATCAGATGCTGTAGCAATCAATTTAATGTACTTCTGATCTAAAACCCACATTTTTTTTTAACTTAAGGTTTCTTTCCCAGTGGATTAAAATCTCAATAGGTTTTCTGTCAGACCAGATATCCCTACTCTTTACTCCACAAACAAGAACAGGTGAGGAATTTCCCTAAACTTCCTTGTAAATAGGAACAGATGCTGAACATCAGTCTTACTCTGTCTCCAGTTCTTCCTGCTTTTTAGAGGATTCAGATGTTTTAGAGACTACTTGTTGATTTTTGCTCTAGTCGGTCATTAAAAAACTAAAATTTAATGTTACATATATTTTAGGATGCTCACAATCTTCACATTTAGTATATTAAATTTAAAAGTATAGCATATTTAGATAATTACAAATTTATTAACTTGAGTTTGCCTTTAAAGTTTTAATTACAATGTTGTAAGCAAACCCAATTAAACATAACATAGCTTTAGGAGTATAAAGCCTGCTTTATGTTCCTCCATCAGCCCTTCACATATCTCTGTAGACTAGACTAGTGCCTGTGAGACTGATGGGAGTCCGAAGTATCTATAGAGCACCAGTTTAGGGAAGGCTATCCTAAATCAACAAAGTGAGTGTAGATGTGTAAAGAGCACTGAAAAAGTATTGTTTATTTTTCAGAAAAATGGAAGAAATAGTATTTTTTCCATAGCATCAAACTTTCTGGAATATTTACTTCCCTAAATGAAGGACAGTAGGGGAGAAATAACAACAGCAAAGATTCAGATGATCTTTAATGCAATTACTACTGTTCTGAATTTTTAATTAATCTATAGAGCTATGGGACAGCCTGCCATTCAATTAAATTTATTTTTGAAATATTTTGTGGTCTGAAGAGGTACTACTAAATTATATTTTATATATAATCACCAGTAAACATGTTCTTTTCAACGCAAATTAATATTTGTTTGATGCCATTATTTGCTGTTTGTAAGGCACTGGATGGGAACATTGAAAGCAGACCCACATTTATTTATTAGATTTGTTCAAAAGCCACCTGTTAGCATTTTGATCTCTGGGCAGCCATTACAATATAAAATCAACAAATAAAATTAATAAAATAATACAATTAAAATATAATAAATTAACAGAATAAAATCACAATAAAACAGTTAAATAAAAATAAAACATACATTAACATAATTAAGAACTTATGCATTGATATAAATAGTTTAGATGATGCCAGAGGTGCACCAGAAAAGGAGTTTTTGAGCGACAACCCAACATATTCAATTTTGGATGGAAAAGAAGATGTTATTCCAGAATGATTTCTACAGATGTACACATGAGAAACATGACATCTGGTTTGACCATTCTCTTTGTGTAGGACTGGGCAACCTGTGTGTGGCCCTTGGCCTAATATCAGAAGCCCTCAGTCTGTGAACAGTTCATTGCTCTGACAAAACCAGTCTGTCATAGAATCACAGAATAGTAGAGTTGAATGGGCCCAGAAGGCCAGCAGGTCCAACCCCCAGCTGACTGCAGGACACCCAAGTTAAACTGCCCCTCCCATATGGCTGTCCAGTTGCATCTTAAATGCCTCCAGTGTGGGAGAGCCCACAACCTCACTTGGTAATCGGTTTCATTGTTGTACTGTTCTAGCAGTCAGGATTTTTTTCCTGCCATCTAGCTGGAATATGACTTCTATACTTTGAACCCGTTATTCTGTGTCCTTCACTCTGGAATGATCGAAAGAAGTTCCTACCCTTCCTCTTTCTTGACAGCCTTTCAAGTACTTGTAGAGTGCTTTCATATCTCCCCTCAGTCTTCTCTTCTCAAGGCTAAACATGCCCGCTTCTTTCAATCTCTCTTCATAGGGCTTTGTTTTCAGTCCCTGGACCATCCTTGTTGCCCTCCTCTGAACCCTTTCCAGCTTGTCTGCATTTTTCTTAATATGTGCTGCTCATCTGGAGACACAGTACTCCAGACACAGTACTTCAGACGAGGCCTAACCAAAGGGGAACTAGTACTTCACATGATTTGAAAGTGATACTTTTATTAGTGCAGCTTAAAAGAGCATTTTCCCTTTTTACATCCACATCACCTTGCTGATTCACGTTTAGCTTGTAATCTGCAACAATTCTAAGATCTTTCTCATGTGCAGTATTGCTGTGTCAAGTATTCCTATCTTGAAATGATGTACTTGGTTTCTTTGCCCCAGGTGGAGAACTTGGTGTTTGTCCCTATTGAATTTCATTCTATTGTTTTCAGCTCAGCATTCCAGCCTATTGAGAGCACCATGAATCTTTTGCCTGTCTTCCAGGGTATTATCAATTTTGTATCATCTGTGAATTTGATAAAAATTCCCTGTACTTCCTCATCAAAATCTAACTAAAGTGTTGAAGACCACTGGGCCCGGGGCTGAACCCTGGGGTGCCCAAGTTGTTACCTCTCCCCAGCTTGAGAAGGTGCCATTAATGAGCACTCTTTGAGTCCAATTCAGTAGCCAACTGTGGATCCACCTGATAGTTGTTCCATCTAGCCTACTTTTTTCTTCTTTGCTAATCAGATTATCATGGGGCAGTTTGTCAAAAGCTTTGCTAAAACCAAGATAATATCATGCCCACAGCATTCCTACAGTCCATCAGTGAGATTATCTGGTCAAAATATGAAATCAGACTGGCCTGGCAGGATTTGTTCTTGAGAAATATATGTTGACTTCCATCAATCACTCTAATGTTTTCAAGGTGTTTAGAAACTGAATGCTTTATAATCTGCTCCAGAATTTTCCCAAGCATTGATGTCAGACTGACTGGTCTGTAGGAGTTCCCAGGTTTTTCTTTTCCTTTCTTGAAGACGGGGACAATATTAGCCCTTCTTCGGCCATCTGGTACTGGCTCTTTCCTCCATGATTTCTCAGAGATAATAGAGAGTGGCGCTAAGAGTTCTTCTGCCAACTTCTTTATCAATCTAGAATGGAGTTCATTGGGTCACAGAGATTTGAATTCATTATTTTTTAAAATTTTAATAGTTAATTATTAAGTAATAACAGTGCAGTAGAAAATGAAATCCATAGCAACAAAAACTTAGAAAAAAACCTTACAATACAAATAAATTGCATCATATAAATTGGTCAGAAAAATGAATATTTTGTTTATTTGATAATAAAAAAGTGCACCCCCACACTGGGACCTTTGATCCTTAATCTTGAGCTGCCATCCTGCTCCTTTAGCTTGTACTTTCTCTTCATCAGGAAGGTCATAGATCTTTTGGAAGAGGACTAAGCCAAAGTAGGAATTATGCATTTCTGCCTTTTCTTTGTCATCTGTTATTTTTTTGCCGCCCACATTGACTAACTGTACCCCCATTTCTTTCCTCTGGTTTTTACTTTGAAAATGCCTGAAGAACACTTTTTTGTTGCTCTTAGCATCCCTTGCTATCAATTCATTCCTAGCTTTAGCCTTCCTGACTCCATCCCTGCAATTCTGTACTATCTGCCTGTATTCTTCCATTGTAGCCTGGCCTTCCTTCCACCTCCTGTATGTGGTCTTTTTATTTTCAGTTAATTTCTAAGCTTCAGAAGTTTAATATTCTGATTGTGAATCCTCCCTGAAAAGTTACTGTGCATTACCCCTTTCAGTAAAACATTTTCAGAGAGATGTCTCAATGGAAACTGCTCCGAAAGTGCTCTTATACATATGGTTATAGGAGCCGACCTTTCATTTAGGCACTCTGGCTAGTGTAATTTCTCTCCTTTTGCTGACTGTTGGGATTGTTGGCTCCTCTATATGTGGGCGTACATACTTTATTTTGCTAAGGAAGCTCTAATAAAATCTTACCTGGTAGTCTATTGGAAGGCTGGGGATCACATGCGTCAATATGTTGACGTAGTCAATTGGAAAATTAAAGGAAAAGCTTTGAAAATGGGCCAGCAATTATTTTAATTGCTTTGTTTCATGTATGCTTTTTAAGACTTGAGTTCCTGATTGCGGCTTAAGCATTGGGGTTTCATCATTCTGTAGCATGGTAGTTATTCTTAGAACAAAACAAAATTAAAAAAAACGGCCAGAGATGGAGAGTAGTGCTTGTGGGATTTTCTGCCTCATATGCCAAAATAATTTGGCTTGCTCTGGGTACTTGCCTTGTGCGGGAGGGGACACCATTTGCTACACTGCCTCAGGCAGACAAGGATAGGTTGCTTATCATGAGTCTACAAGAAAAGACTACCAAGATACAAGACTGAAAAGCTGCTGAAGGGAAAAAAGGTCCAGTATCTTAAAATGCCATCAGAAATTTCTCTCAGAGCAATATCTTTACAGATAAGATTTTTTCTTTCATTTTCTCTCTCCCTTCCTTTGGTAATCTGAACTGTTATATTCAAACTAACCACATAGAGAGTTGCTGTTACACAACAAATCATTCTGTTCTGTGACCATAACATTCTTCTGATAGCTTTTGATGAAGGAAATACAGTCTTTTGATGAAATTCCTGAAGTTTCTTGGAATATAGGATAATCCCTTACATCTTAAGTGATTTTGATTTTGTTGTTTTCCACCTCTGTCCACCCACTTTATGCAGTAAAGAATTGACTCTGCACTTGGTCTCCGGATGTTTATCAGGTTGGGAATCTATGTCAGGTTTTGAAGATTAAAAGAGACAAATAATTGGGAAGGCAAAAATGATAGGTTCTTAAGAATGTTAATAACCCACTGGTTTGGTTTACAATGAATAGATGGTTGGGCATCTAGACTACCTTTCTGTAAATAAATCACCCTTGTCTTGAAGGTGTACCAACATTTGTGCTAAGGCATACCTGAACGTTTTTCTTTAATTTAAATTATGTTGTGTACTCTATTGGTATATGAATTCCTTGGTTTCCATTATGATTTGCACACTTCTTCTCCTTTCAGGACTTCCAGATTATGTTAATCCATCATTTCGCTACAATAGTACTCATTACCTTCTCTTACATGAACAAAATGGTGCGTGTAGGAACCTTGATCATGCTTCTCCATGATGCATCAGATCCTTTACTAGAAGTGAGTACATTTACTTTGACTCTAGGATTTGTGTCCACACACTATCACTCCTATTCAGTTTTCACTACTGATCTTCTTTACATAAAGAATAATACTTGAGTTTTGAAGAAAATTTAATGTGAGATCTTTTATCCACAAGGAAAGAAAAATGAAGGGTTTAAACAATACATTGTGGCAATCAGAAATATTTCAGGTTTGAGGACATCTCTGGCAACAAATGTTTGCCCTCCCCCCCAAAACCAGGATCCTTTAGAAACTGCTCATGAGCTATAGCATCATTTGATTTGACTTACAGTATGTTCTGATACAGGATACCTCAAATCTAAACAGTGCTAGCAGCCTGGGTGGTCAGCATGACTGGGGGCTTTCTTATCATATGCATAATTACTAGTTAGATATGCAAGCTCTTACTTGACTACACCTGCTCTGCAGTTGCTTGCTTTTCTGGGCTTTTTGTGATGAACCTTGGTTCTTCATGGTCTCTGTGTGTCACACATATATGGGCTTTGCCACGCAGTGCAAGATCTGGATCGGAGAAAAACTTACACAGCTCAGCATGACAGAGTGGATGGGAGCCCTGCCCTGCCCCCTCTGGGGATCTGGGGGGTCTCTTGCCCAGCCCCTCAGTTCATTTTCGACTGCACATGCAGTAGCATTGCTGATGGGAACTTCCACTGCTCTTCTTATTAGCTAGAACTCTCCATCTGCTGTTTTCTCAATATATTTTTTAAACATTTCTTCCTACCTTTCTCGATTAATCTCTACAACAACTTTCCATTGTAATCCTCACTCCAAGGCCGCTCCTTGCCATGCTCTCTCCTACCTGTGGGAAGGAGAACAAAGACTCCTCTCCTCCTTTTTTCTCAACCTTCCACTATTGTGCTTCCTGCACTGCTCGCCTGCCTGCCGTGGATGGCCGCTCCTGCTGCCTCTCTCCTCTGCCTTGGTGAGGAGCACGTTGTGGAAACCTGCCTTCACTGCCAGGTGTGTAAAAAGCAGACACTCCAGCAGCAGACAGGTTGCCTGAAGTTTGCTCTGTGGCAGCACGCCTTGAACATGGCTGACTCCTCCAGATCAGAGGCTGAAAAACTATCCTCTGCTGAAGAAAACACACAGGCAGCCAAGTGATTGAAGAAAAGGGCTATTGCCCCAGAGGGACCAGCAGAGACTGTGGCTGCCCCCAAACACAAGAAGTGCCACGCCACCCAGTTGGCTGCCTTTGCACCAGCTGCTTTGCAGTGTGATGGCTGCCCATGCACTCTAGACCCCGGGTCCCCCTCGATGGAACTCCCGCAGTCCCAAAGCCATATACTCTGGATAAACACAACCGATTTTCAGACAGAGCTTCCTCACCTGTGCACAGCTCGCTTCCTGTGTGCAGCTCACTTCTTGCACGCAACCCTTCTCCCATGCTGTCCGTGTCGCCCAGCCACCACTTCTCTGCCTCGCCATGTGACCTATCACTGAGTCCGTTCTCCCAGAGCATGGTTTGAGCTCTTACCTCTGGGGGACTCCAGGGATCACAAGAGACAGGTCAGCGTCTCTTCCCCGCTCTATCTGATTTCAGAAATGTCATTGCGAATCAAAGTGCAGAGGCTGGCAACACAGGAAACTAATGTGTTCTGCCACATGGCTGACTGTGGTTCAAAATCCGTGGCAGACATAATTTCTGTTAGGAGACATGCTTGGTTTTGCACCTCAGAACTTCAGCAAGAATCAAAGTTAACATTAGAAGACCTGCCTGCTTAACAGTGAGGAACTATTCAGTGTGTTCATGGGTAATACCCTAGATCAGGTACAGAAAATGAAGGTGTCTGCCCATAAAATGAGAACAGCTTCCTCCTCTAATCATTCATTCCAATATTGGCAACATTAGTGCCTGTCTTATTGCTGTGTTGACTCAGGATCAAAACCAGGGTGTTAAATAGACATCCTATCTCCTCTCAAATCAAAAGAACCCTTCCAAAATAAATACAACCTATTCATGTTAAGAGCCCTGACCAAATGGTATTTTTAATTATTATTACAGAGCTAGTTCAGGGTTCCTCATCAGTCCCTGTCAGTGTGGAAGAATACTGCCATAACAAAGTGGATACTCTCCATTGTCAGCTGGAGCTAGCTCATTGAGTTCAAAGAGCCCCCTCCCTCAGGGGTCTCCCATTCTACCCATCCTGCCCTGGCTCCAAGAAGAAATTGCCATCCTTCTGAATACAGAAGCTCCCCTCTGCTCAAGGAATACCTGGACTCTTCCTGAGATATTTCACCATCTGCAAAACGGGTGGAGGTATACACCCCATATTAGACTTCTGGGGTATCAACAGCTACATAACACCCCAAAATTTCAAGATGACTGTGCTTACAGCCCTGTTCTACAATGGAACAAGTAGTTCACAACAATAGACCTTTTAGAGATGCCTACTTCCATATTGCCATACCCTCACTTCTCAGCCATTCCTCAGGTTCTTGTGCAACAAACTTTTTCCTCCTCTAGTGTGGCACTTACAAATTGTATGACAATGGTTGCCACTTGCGTAAGGCAAAAAGGGTTCATAGTATTCCCCTGCATTGATATTTGGTTTTTTCTTACTCCCATTATCAACTCTCCAGTGACATTATACCTGCCCTATCCTTCTAAAATCTCTTGGCCTTCAGGTCTGTGAGGAAAAATCCTACTTCACTCATCTCAAGATTATTTCTTGATTGTACTCAAACCTGAGCATATATACTAAGAGACAACCTTTGTTTCATAGCAAGGGAGCTTTTCACCACTCTCTAATGTCATAATCTGATCCCTTCTTGGACTCCTGGTCATGACTACAGTGGTCATCCCATTAGTCTGTCTCCATCTGAGGCCCCTGCAGTCCCGGCCCTTGAGAACTTCCAGTCTAGAAAGAGATGCCAAATTCTTAACCTCTCCATCCAAAATTCAGTCAGAAATTCCCTGAACTGGTGGATTCAACTAGGTTCTCTTGTCTAAGACTTCAGCTTCTGCAACCCCAACCAGTGTGATGCAACCCCAACCATCTCTCTGGTTGTGTAACCATTGCTGCTCCATCTTGATCAGAGGACTTTGGTTTTAGTAGAAATGCTTGCTACATATTATTCAAGTAGGGCTGGATTGTTCATCTCAGTGAACGATTGAGGCACCTGGATTTACAGTTCTTTCCCATTACAGCCTGGAAAATAACCAGCCCTTTAAATTCTCAAACCAAGTACTTAGAGGTCTTGATAGTCTCACACAAATAATCCATTTGAACTTTTTACACTGGCAGTTGTGGGGGAAAGCATTCAGGGCATCAATTCACATTGGACTTCTTTTTTTCAGTAAAACCCAAGAATGTAGCCTTCTCTTCCATTAAAATGTACCTGGCAGAAATTTCACTGAGTCATGCCAACATGGAAAGATCTGCTTTCTCACATGCTTATGGTACAAAGCTTTCTTGAGGACTTTCTAACCTCTGTCCACTAACATCTCTTCCAGTTCTTTCTTGGAACGTTTCCATAGCACTAACTTTACTAATGTCTAAGTCATTTGAACCCCTTGCCACAGTCAGCATTTGACTCTTCACCTTGAAAGTACAGTCTTAGCATTATGTCTGCTTACAGAGTGAGTCAGCTCTGTGCTATATGTCACAACCAACCATTCCTTATTTTTTCATAATAATGAAGTTCTTCCCCTCAGGCTGCTCTTCTTTTCCAAAAGTTGTTTCTCAATTTCACTAAAAACAAGGCATAGTAGTACCAATTGTGCTTCTTCATTTTCCCTTAAAAATGAAGCATGTAGAGGGCTTGAGCATTCCACATGTCTAGGATGCCATCCTTCAGAAAATCATCTTGCTTCGTCATCTGTTTCTCCAGTCCCAGAAAGGGCCAACTGGTATCCCCACAGCATCAAACCAAATGGTTATTCTCAGCCATACTCCTCGCCTACCATTTGATTCATTTCCCAGTCTCTGTTCAAGTAAAGAGCCATTTGACCAGAGCCACAACATCTTCAACCACTTTTTTCAAGTGGGTTACTCTACCACAATTCCACCTGGCTCAGCCATCTACATTAATCAGGCATTACTGCTGACCAGAACATCCTTGCATGTCATCTCCTTTCTCCAGTACCTATCTAGTACCTTTCTAGTCACCTATCTGTATGAGTCACAGAGAATATGAAGAAGAAAAGATTGCTTACCTGTAACCATGGTTCTTCAGAACTGGTTGTGTGTGAACTCACAACCCAGCTTCATCCCCACTTTGATGCCTCACCTTTTACTTTCCACCACTGTGGCAGATTGGGAACTGAGATGCAAACAGGAACCATGGCTGGAGCATACACAGGCAGTGGGCAAGGCTTCCACCTCAAGCTCTGTTAAGCTCTAAAATGTTCTGAATGGTTACCTGTGGTTATCTTTTACATAGTTGCTTAACCCATATGTGGGACTTCATACTTAAAGGACCACTGCTACAAATAAGCAATCTGTCATTCTTATAGGCAGGATTTGTGTCTTCCATGTTCTTTTATGTAAAGTGCCTACTTACATTGACTTTTTTTCCTAGTACACCTAGAGTAATTGGAAGAAGTTTTGTAAACAATGGGTCATTGCATTGGCAGTTGGTGTTTCTTTAATCCTTTCCCATTTTTCCTAGGTGGCAAAAATGGCCAACTATGCCAAATATCAACGACTGTGTGATGCCACCTTCATACTGTTTTGTGTGGTGTTTATTGTTATCCGTTTGGGGATTTTTCCTGTCTGGTAAGTATTGGCAGGGATGGTCACAGCTATTGGTGATATACTGAGCAAAGGACTGAGCAAAAGCTGAAGGACTGAGCAAAAGATTCTTAGGTTCCCAGAATTCAGTATGGCCAAATTTTAAAAGCAAATAAGCCTTGCCCCCTTCAGTGGCAGGAGTCGTCATAGGTGTGTTGTAAGTACAGTCCCCTATAAAAGACTAAGTTTTCTGATTATGGGGCTCCATAAGTCAGAAGAGTGAGCAATATGAGCGAGCAAATATCAGGAGTCCCAAGCTCTGGCAGTCTATTTTAATATAATGTTTACAGCAGCAAGCTGTTTAAGACTGGGCCTGAGTTGGGTGTTTCATCTCTTCAGATTCTGTCTGCTACAGCTTACGCTTAAGAGAAGGGATTTGAGGTGTGGTTCACTATCTCTTGACCACAGATTAGGGAATGGCAGCCCCAATTCTTTGGAACTCTGCCTCTGGAAATCAGGCAGGCACTAATGCTATGTTGTTTTGAATAACTGCTGAAGACATCTTTGTTCCGGAAAACCTTTCTAGCTGACAAGGCACAGTTTTAATTTCACCTTTTTTATCTACTGTCTTTATTCTTTTATCTGTTCTATCTTGCTACTGTTCACCACTCCAGAATCTGCCTTGAAATGAAGAGTTATACATATATTCTGAATGAATAAATTAAAAATAATAGCATGCACAAGTACATCTTTCTCTGTGATAGACAAAACAAGTAAGACTGTTTTCAGGTTCCCTCTGCTGTATAAGTTTTATGTGCCTTAGTGAAGATAATAGATGGTAGCACTTCTTTGTCGTGTCCTCTGTGCATCACACGTATGGGTTCTGTGCCTGCGGCCGGAAGATTAACAGCTAACGGTTTTTGGCGGGAACTCCGCTCCCCCTCCCCCCTAGCATTATATAAGGAGCGGAGTGTCCGCCATTTTCCAGTCTTTGCGACCGTAGTTCGTTGTGCCTCGTGCCGCTTCGCTCTCGCTCAACTTGTTACCTTCTTGCTCGTCCGAAAATCTCTCTCTTTCTCTTACCAAGTTTATATCCCTTGTTCTTGTTGTTAGTATTTCACTTATATTTTTTTAACTTTGCACCATTTTTTCTTCTTTATCGTTCCTATAAAAAACCCCCCAAAAATATTACTTTCCTGCTTTAGTATCTCCTTTTTTCTTCATTCTACGATGGTGCAACGGGCGGCGTTCCGCAAGTGCGGAAAATGCGGTTCCAAAATGCCCGCCGCAGACCTGCATGATCTGTGCCTCCTTTGTTTGGGGGAGGGGCACAGAACCAATAAGTGCGGCCATTGTTTGGCCTTCTCTAAACAGGCGAGGAAGAACAGGGAGAACCGCCTCCGCAAACTCCTTTGGGATCAGGCTCTCCTCCAATCTGATTGGCTGGTGGCTAAGCCTTCCACTGTTGTGGCCCCACCCGAAGGCCGTCCAACTTTGGCTGACCTGCCGCAACGTCCGGCCTCTTCCTCCATTGCTCCACCCTCACGCCCTTCTGAAGAAGGCGCTCATGCTATGGCCAATCAGTCTGTTTCCTTGCCGAAGAAGCAAAAGGAAAAAAGAAAACACAGCGACTCAGATAAATATCCTGTGCATAAGAAGGCCAAGAAGGATAAGACGGGCAAGCCGGTTAAGAAGCCGAAGAACCCCGAGCAGGCAAAACACCGTCACTTGGGCTCGGCCTCTTCCTTGATTCTGATACCTACTTCGGAAACGACCCCCTCGGTCCCGACCATCCAGGCGGCTATGAGGGTCACCCCACCGGGCTCACCACGCTGGCCGGTAGCCGAACCCATTATGGATTCGAGGAGGGGTTCCATCTCTGATGGGGAAATACGAGACTCCCCACCTAGGGCTCAATCACCAACCCCGATGCCTCCGATCCCGATGGATACTGAGATCACCATCTCCCCTCCAAGAAGCCGTAGGAGCCGTTCCTCGGATGTGAGGTCTGATGATTGGTACCACTCCAGGTACTCCTCTGCTCTGAGACAAGGAAGAGTACCACTCTACAGCCTACTATCCAACCTCTAGGGGACAATCTTCACCATCAGCGCCTCGGCAGCGTTTCCGTTCAACGCCCAGAGACGCCCCAAGGGCACCATCTAGAGAGAGTGGCAGATTGGAGTCTCCAGGAGAGTCTTCTTCCAGTGTACCACCCCCCTACTGGATGGAATCCGAAGAGTCTGAGGCTGACTCAACCTCGCCGGATGCTCTAGTTGCTTCCCAGGGTCCGGGGTCGCCTGAGGAACCGTACATATCGTTTAACGATCTGTGGCCAGACTAGTGAGATCGCTCAATATAGAAGCCCACCAATAGCCGGGACCGAGCACTGATCATTTTTATGATGTGGTTAGAGGTGAACGATCCACATCTATTGCCTTGCCGTTTATTACGACCTTACGGCAGGCAATGACCCAGCCGTGGGACCTCCCAGCTAATCCACAACTGACCTCTCGTAAATACGAGTCCATGTATCAGGTGCGGGAAGAGGACATCCCATTTCTTCTCTGCCACCCCAAGCTGAATTCGGTTGTTGTAGAATCCTCGCAGGGTCGGGAAGTCCATGGACACAACTCACCTCGTGACAAAGAGGGTAGAAAGGTTGATTCTCTCGCCCGCCGGGTATACGCAGCTTTGGGCCTTGGTTTAAGAATCTCCAATTATGAGGCAACCCTGGCACATTACCAGTATTTCCTGATGCAATGCCTGGACGCCATCATCGATACTCTTCCGGGAAACCAGGGCGAACTTGCTAAGATTTTGTTAAGGAAGCTATGCAAGTGGCGGTGCAACAGCTTTCTACCGCGAGGCACCACATGGACTCTGATTCAAGGTCGCTGGCCGGTGCAGTTTCCCTCCGCAGGCACGCCTGGTTGCGTAATTGCAATTTTCTGGATGAGATGAAGCAGAGAATTGAAGAGATGCCGTTCGACGGTTCCGGTCTCTTCCATGCAAGGACGGACAGCAAATTGAAGAAAATCCATGAATCAAGGATGACCGCCCTTCGTATGGAATTGCAATCTCTACCCCATGTGGTCATGGTCACGTCCACAGTACCCTCAACAGTTTCCGCCTCGGCAGCAGCAACTGCATCAACGTCAGCAGCGTTGCAGGCAACAACCGCCACAGCGCTTCCAACAGGGCTGCCGCCTTTTCGATACGGACAGGCGATAGCGCTGATGTGACGAGTGAACCTCTCCTCTCATTCCAACTCCCCCCTCTCATTTGGGGATCAACTGAAGAGTCGAATCTCCATTTGGGAGTCCATCACATCTGATGGATGGGTGTTATCTATCATCCAGCACGGATATGGAATCGAATTCGACGTTGTACCATCAGCGAATCCTATTCAATATACTCCAACTTCTTTGGTACTGTTAGACGAGATTCATCAACTCCTCGCTAAAGGAGCTATTCGTCGCCTGTCGTTATCGGAAGGATTCCACGGATTCTATTCCAGATACTTTATGGTTCCGAAACGAGATGGGGGTCTAAGACCAACATTGGACTTGAGAGCTCTCAATAGATTTATAACACCAAAGAAGTTTCGGATGACCACATTTCAAAGTATTCTTCCGTTGCTGGGAAGAGGGGATTGGTTCGCCTCATTGGATCTGAAGGATGCCTATTTTCATATTTCAATACATCCAAGTTATAGGCGTTTCCTTCATTTTGCGGTGGACTCTGGAATCTATGAATTCAATGTGCTACCATTTGGATTGGCCACTGCACCAAGAGTTTTTACGAAGTGTATGGCCCCTGTCTGTGCACACCTTCGATTACGTGGAATTCAGATATACCCGTACCTTGATGATTGGTTGCTGGTCGCCAACACAGAAGCAGGACTTTCGTCTGCTGTTGAGTTTACATGTGCTCTATTGCACGATCTCAGACTCTGTATTAATCGACAGAAATCTTCCCTTCTCCCTACGCAGGTGATCAACTTCATCGGAGCCCGACTGGATTCGACGTTGACAAGAGCCTTCCTTCTTCGGGACAGACGACATGGGATTGCTCATTGCATCGCTCGGATTCGACAAGCAAGAACTGCTCCCGCCCAGTCTATTCAGAGTCTGTTGGGTCACGTCTGCTTCCATTGCTGTGGTTCCAAACGCCAAACTCAGGCTACGTCCCCTTCAGCTGTTCTTCAACGGGGTGTTTCGACCACAGATAGACCCCCCTACTAAAAGGATTCGACTCCCGGCTTCTGTTCTTCAGTCTCTGTTATGGTGGATAGACCCAGCCAATCTAACCATAGGCGTTCCATTCCGACCCCGGTACCCTACAATAACCCTCGGTACCGATATGTCTCTACTGGGATGGGGAGCAATCTGTTCCGATCTACGTACCCAAGGGATATGGAGTCATCGGGATTGCAGGAACCATATCAATTTTCTGGAACTTCTTGCCATTTTCAAAGCCCTTCAATCATTCGAGGATGTGCTTCTGCAGCAGGTCATCCAGGTGACCTCGGACAACATGGCGACAGTCTTTTATTTAAACAAACAAGGGGGAACCTGATCCCGAAAACTAGCCTGCCTGGTCATGCAGATTTGGGACTGGTGCATACCGAGAGGTATCACTCTTGTAGCAGTTCACCTTGTGGGCACGGAAAATACAGACGCCGATCTCTTGAGCAGACATAAGTCGCGGTCCCACGAATTGGAGCTAGACCATCGGGTTCGCGACATGCTGTTTCACCGATGGGGCCAGCCAGACATCGATCTGTTTGCCACACAACGGAACAGGGCATGCACGACATACTGTTCCAGAGCGGGAGTGGATCAGGACTCCCTCGGGGACACTTTCATGATTCCCTAGACAAACATGACTTTTTACGCTTTCCCTCCGATCGCACTCATCATGAGAGTGTTGGCAAAGATCATTCACGACGGGGCCACAGGGGTACTGATCACCCCCTGGTGGCCACGCCAACCATGGTTCTCAACTCTCCTTCACGTCTCCAGAGAAGAGTTTCTCCAACTCCCTCTTCTTCCTTATCTCATTACCCAGAGGGAGGGCGCAATCCGTCACCCAGATTTGCTATTGCTGAAACTGACTGCATGGAGGATACAATGATCACCTCTGATACAACGGTATTGACACCACAAACTGTTCCAACTATTCCTGCTCAGCAGAGTCTACACCCAGACCTACAGTATATCCTCGAATCTGCGCTACGACCATCTACTAGCAAGTCGTACGCGGCAAAATGGCAGAGATTCTCTAACTTTGCCAATTTACATTTGCCAATTTTCTGGCCCCTTCAGCTTCTGTTTCACAGATACTTCAGTTTCTCTTTGAATTGCATCAGTCTGGACTCAAACCCTCGTCCATAAAGGTTTATACAGCAGCGATTTCGCATTATCGGGGAACTATACATGGCCTCTCCAGCTTTGCTCAACCTCTGATTAAAAGATTTTTAAGAGGATTGAGTAATCTACATCCAACTATAAGACCTCTAATGCCCACCTGGAGTCTTTTGGTGGTTTTACAAGCACTGACTCAACCACCTTTCGAACCCATGGCGACGATTGATCTACGCCTTGCTTCATGGAAGACGGCCTTCCTTGTTGCAGTAACTTCAGCCTGTAGATCATCTGAACTCTGCGCCCTTCGGGTAGACCCCCCCTTCCTAAATTTTCATAAGGAAAAGGTGGTTCTTCGAATGGATCCGTCTTTCCTTCCGAAGGTCGCTACTTCGTTTCACATGCAACAGGAGATTGTTTTACCGGCATTCTTTCCAACCCCTTCGAATCCGATAGAACGATCTCTACATATGCTGGACATTCGTCGTTGCTTAGCCTTTTATAGGTCCAGGACTGAGCCTGTTCGGTGTTCCAATAGACTTTTTGTGAAATATTCGGAACATGATCGGGGTTGCCCAGTCACCTCACAATGTCTTTCGAAATGGATAGTAAATACAATTGTCCTATCTTATCAGTTGGCTAAGTTGGACTTACCATGTACTCCAAGAGGCCATTCTACAAGAGCTGTCGCTGCTTCTTCGGCCTTTGCATCAGGAGCCCCGATAGAAGACATGTGCAGAGCGGCCATTTGGGCTACTCCGTGTACCTTCGCCAGACATTATAGAATCGATGTCCGTGCCAGACAGGATTGCTCTTTGGCAGAGCTGTTCTTTCTTCTGTCCTTCGTTGATGACACCTCCCTCCTCCATTTCGGGTAAGCTTGCTATTCTACCCATATGTGTGATGCACAGAGGCCATGACGAAGAAGAACAGGTTGCTTACCTGTAACTGGTGTTCTTTGAGTGGCCATCTGTGCAGTCACACAACCCACCCTCTGACCCCGCTTGGTGTCATGGGTGGTCTGACTATTTTCTGCGATACTATGATATCTTTTTTCCTATGTGTCGTACCACTACTGAATTTGGATTTCTTGTCATTCTGACAAACCCTTTTAGTATACAACAAACGCTGGTCTTTCAAAGACTGGAAAATGGCGGACACTCCGCTCCTTATATAATGCTAGGGGGGAGGGGGAGCGGAGTTCCCGCCAAAAACCGTTAGCTGTTAATCTTCCGGCCAAAGGCACTGTGCAGGCGCAGAACCCATATGTGTGACTGCACAGATGGCCACTCGAAGAACACCAGTTACAGGTAAGCAACCTGTTCTTATGCACCCTCGTGGTAATCTGTGCTGCTGGTGTTCCAGATGTTAATGTTCATCACAGTCTCTTAGTATATCAAGGGTAATGGTAATGATCTCATTAATCCCCCAGGTTTTCCTTGGCACCTTCCCAGAATTTGGGGTATTTTGATACTACTTGTCAAAATTAACTTTCTCTTGTGTTGGAATACTTTTAAATGTGTGGTGGATAAGAAGGGCACGGTTCCAACTTTTAGGTTAACATCTCTTTATCCAATTCCACAGTGAAAAAAATATGCACATGGACATTCCAAATACTTACTTCAGCAGAAAATTCCACCTGTATTTGTCCACATGTTGATTGATCAGCTACACTTTAATATTTTACAACCAGTGAACTCCCCCCTCCCATTTTTTCCTAGCTTGCTTTGCTTTTTTGTTCTGAGAACTGCAGCATTCTTCATTCATTCTCATTAGAGCACTCTTACTATGATCTTGATAAATGGTTGAAGTGGGAAAGAAAAGTCAGGCCATTTTTCTCAGGGGTTTTGGAGGACTGGAATCTCAGGTTTACAGAAGTTCTCTAAGAAGCCTGATGAGCCTTCACATCTCTGTTGTGCCTGTTCAGTATTCCACCATTAACTGGTGCCTTAGTTCTGGCTATTAAGATGTATTTGTGTAGCTTGCTGGTATGCTAGCAGCCACCATGAGCAGGAGTTGCAAAGGACAACTGAGAGTCACTGAACAATGAGTCGGGAGAAGAACATTCATTTCCTCGTAATTAAAACTGACCTCAGTACTCATACTTCTCACTGAAGAGGGAGCCAATGTCTTTCCTCCAATATAGCAAATAAGTATCACCATACTATAATGAAGAAAACAGATGTTCATAATCGTTATAAAATCCAGCTAGGCACTCATGATGCAGTTTGATTGCTGTTGTTCTGGACTCTAGAGAGCCATTTTGATGATCCAGTAGTTTTGTTTCATGGATTTAAGGTAGGAATTGAGAGGATCACTTAATTTTGCATCTAGAATATTTGCACTGTGAAGCACATATACCCTATCTCAAATTCTAGAAGGTGAGTTTGTGTTTTTATCCAATTGAGTTACTCTAGTCTTACTAGTAGTCTCAACTGCACCATGAGGTTCACCACTCAACAGTTGTGCTCATGTAGCAATACTCCAGTTGTAGGTTACATGCATTTAAAGATTCCAGGTCCAGTTTCTGTATCTCCAGGAGGGATTGGAAAAGAACCTTTCTTGAAACACTGGAGAGTCACTGTCAGTAGTGAACAGGAAATAGTATGGAATGTGATGGATTTATGGTCTGACTTGGTATTAGGTATCTTCATATGTTCAAGTCCTTGGTATACCTTTTACTGATGAGAATAGAGGGACTATATTCACTGCCACCTTTATGTTCTGTATTTTCTTTGGTTTTAGGTTTCCTTTTTGGTAGTTCCTAAAACAATTGAAAAGACTCACTAAATACTGTTGAACAATTCTTTGAAATTAGACTGCCAAGCATATCTACATTTTAGTTTTGGAAGATACATCTCAGAGTGGTTTGCTCATTTAATCCTTCTATTTCCAGCTATGATTATAGGTTTCTCCCTCAACCAGGGAGGAATTTCAGAGTTACAAAAGCTTTGAGATGCTATCTTGCTTTGTTCACTTGAGCACTGGTATTTGCACATAAATCTTCTTACTGCTGGGCCCATTTCTTGTGATTAGACCACAGTAATCTGCACATATTGTCACTATAGCATTCAATAAGCCCTTATTGTGTGGTAACGGAACCAGTGAATCTTTAATGCAGTTTCCACTAGCCTGATTGCACTGGGACTTTGCTATTTCACCAGATGCATACAGTAATGGCATACTGTACTCCTCAGATTGCAAACTGTTGGCTTACGCATGAACCCATTTCCCCTTAAAAGTGGAAAGGTCTTTGGAGACTCAGGCTGAAGTCCAGCCACAGGAGCATTGCAAGTCTTAGAAGGCTTCAGTTTAAAAAGCTTTCTGCCTTCATTAGCCTTCTCTTCAACCCCCACCTCTCTTTAAAGTCTCTCCTAATCCGTTTTAAATATTTTCCTGCTGTAGCAAGGTACAGTGGAGTAGATCATATGTTTTATAACTTTGTCAAAGTGAGCCTTCCAATAGCCACTAAGAGAGAGAGAGAGAGAGAGATAAAAATCATAACAGACCATTTTCAGCTGTCTGAGAATTTGATGAATTGGTGAGCATTTCAGCTTTTGACTTAACCAGATCATTTAAAAACTGAATGGTGAATTGGGGAAAGGAAAAGAAACCTGTGCTCCTTAGAAATGTCTGTGCACATGTTATGCTCTCAGAGAGCAGAGGCATCAACATTCTGAGAAGAAACATCTGTCCCAGTAAAACTTTTCCTTATGATCCAGACAACTTGGTTCCAATTAGGAGCTGGGGCTTGTTGGGAGATCAGTAAAGCATTATAACAAGTTCCCTTCTTTGTCTTGCAGGATACTGAATACAACCCTCTTTGAAAGCTGGGAACTAATTGGCCCTTATCCATCATGGTGGCTGTTCAATGGTCTTCTTTTAACATTACAGTTGCTAAATATTATTTGGTCCTGTTACATCATCCGTGTTGCCTATAAGGCCTTGGCACGAGGAAAGGTATGAATGGCTTGTTCAATTTCTTTTGACTCAGCTTTAGTTTTGTTTTTTATTTTCTTTTTGTTTTGTAGTGGCATAATTGCCAATGACTCTGATGAAGGAGGGCTTCTGTCTGTTACAATAACTCAGAGTTCAGTTATAATATAATGCTGTGTGCCTTTTACGTCAATACAATTCAGGTCCCAGAATGCATGGTACAAAGCAAGTTAATGTGCACATATGCTTTGTGTAATTTCTGTGGCTTCCAAAATTAAAGTTATCAAAATTTTAGGATTTCTTGCAAGGCTTTGGACAGAAAAGGAGAGAAAGATGGATACAGAATCGATAGGTGACATCTAGAGCAAGAAAGATTCCTTCAGAGTAAGGGCAACCATTGACTAATGGGCCCATCTCATCCACTTGCTTTTCCCTTAAACTATCTATGTACTCTACATATTATTCAAGCACTTTTCTCATATTGATAAATATAAGAAACGAATGGCACAATCCTATCATATTGTGCTCTTGAGGGCTGAAACCCCCAAGCTCTGCAGCTTCCAACTATCCAGATCCAGGGAGGAAGGAATACCGAAGGTGATCCTAACCTCCCCATCTTCCCATCCTGCATTTTTCACTAGGCAGGCTTTGTTGCTGATCTAGTGATGGCACCTCAAAGTGGGATGGGAGGAGGCTGGAAGAGGCCCAATATAACTCATAACTTGGCCTGCATGATCTCTGACATTCCCTGTCCACTTTCCTCCCCTTCAGGAATAATTTTAATCGCAGCCAGTGTAGTTCTTTCTGTGCTGGCAGCGTATGGGTGGAAAAACGAGGTTCAGATCTTTGATTCATCCTTCCAAGGGTTTCTGTTTTGGACATCTCTAGTCTCCTGTGGTCCTTGAAACAATGTCTAAGGACCGTAAGGTTCCACCCTTACAAAGGTACAAAGCTGTACTTTAGCATGCCACCTATGCTCTCTCTGCTGGACAAGAGCAGAGGTTCATGTTTGACTGAAGCAGAAAGTAACTCTGGATTCTTACACTTCCATATTTTAACATAGCTGCCAGATAATTCTTACCTAATAATGCCAGGCTAAGCTATTTATTTGGAGGGTTGTGCTAAAGTAATAGATATTTGCATCAAAGAAACTGTAGTGAAAATGCACCATAGTAGTCACAGGAAGACAGTAAGCTATCCAGAGCTACACAGGTCATTGGATAATACTCTTTCCCCTGATTGATAATCATCCTTGGCACTCTCATCTTTTTCTTCCCAAGCACTTTCAAACTGGCCTTCTCAGTGGTGCTTTAAAAGAATTCAGTAGTAAAGGTTGAGATCCTTCGAGCTGCTGAATCCAATGTTATCACAGAGCCATATGCAGTTCTATTGGGAGACCTTGCTGAGTGGCTTAGACATTTTGAAAAAAATACTTGGTGGTTGCATAGAAATTGATGATGCTGTTGATGCACCCTATCTCACATGAGACAGAATGTATTTATATCTTTGTATGGGCTCTGCATTCCACAATGAAATTCAGATGGAGTTTTTCAGACTTCATTTATTCCATTTCACACGGCTAATTACCAGAAATTGAAACATTTAATTCTAAGAGCTGATCTGAATGAGTCTGTTAGCGCCTGGCTGAAACTCTGCTAGTGTGAATTGGATTGGATACTTCCTTCACCAGTGGATTTTTTCTTTTGTTTGCCGAAGGGCGTTTCTTGAGTGAGAAAAGAGAAGTCCAGCAGCACACTCCTGTTTTATATCTTTTCTCCAAGCACCAGACTGGGGAAAAGATTCTGATAAGAGGTTCCAAGGACCTTGCTACTGAATTCCTGTTCACTTTGTAGCAGTCAATATTTCAGGCCTGTATCTGAGATATTGGCAGAAGCCGGGCTCTTGGAATCTTCCATAGAACACATGAAAGCTGCTCCTTTAAGAAGCATTGGATGCCATTCCATTGAGAGCCCTTTTCTCTGAGCTTTTTCCCCCTGAAAGACAGTAGGGTGAGAGAGAAAAAAATAACTGTGTTTTACATATCAGACAAGTTCAAATGTCACAAGCCACACCATGGAACAAGCCATGCAATGTGATTTGTTTGTCCCAGACCCTGCACTGTGGCCAACAGAGAACTGGGCATATCATGGCTTCAGAACTTCCTCCTTGTCTTGGTCCTCCCGGGGACATTGCAAGAGCATTGAACTTCCCCTATTCCCTGTCACTGTTTTTAAGCAGCTCTAGGGATGGGGAAAATGAAGCACCCTTTTCCCCACTGGTGCCTTGAGCCCAAAATGGTAGGCAAGAATGTGAACAGCCAGTGCAGATCCTGGCAGAGAGAGGTTCTGGGCAACCTCAGTCTACCAGAATTGGAGCAACATGCACCTCTACTGTGCATGGGATGGAACAGAAAGCATACTTTACCCATCCTCCTCCAGAGAAGGCTACTTAGAGCACAACTTGCCCTATGGGTGCCAGCCCTTTTGGCTGGCAGCTATGGCAACATGGGTAGCCTCTGACAGCCATCTTGAAGTACCTCCTGGGCACTTTGTGGTGGCTGTCATTGGAGCTTGATTGCTTGGGCAGAGCAACAAGGTTTGTTGTTGTTGCTTTTATCAAGCAGCTCTAAAGAGGTTTGTTTGCCTCCTGGTGGGTTGTGTCATCCTGCAAGCCACCATGTAGCACACAAGCCTTATGGCAAACCATGGCTTGTGGTGGTTTATAAACCAAGCTTAATCCACCATGACAAAACTATCCTCGGTTCAGCCAACAGATGTTGACACCATGGTTTCACAGCATGTTGTGTGAACCCAGTCATTAAGTCCCCAATTTGACTTAGAGTAGATTTTGTGTTTAGGCTGTCAGAACATGCTGCTGTGTAGAGGGATTTGGGGCTGGGAAGAAATGCTGTAATCTAAAGTAGGAAGAAAGTGAGGGCTTACTTTTCTTAAAGAACTGATTGAGAAAACATGGATTTGAAGAATATAAACATAAATCCAAATTATTTAGATTCATTAATAATTTGGGAGAAAATAATGTATTTGTCAAAACAAAAGGTTCTTTTATGATATTATGCATCTATCTTTCAGTAGGCCATTCATTTTTCGGCTGGTCACATACTTATCACATGCTTCAGTAACTGTAGTTGTTTCCTCTCTGTTTAGCTGTTTGTGTACCTGCTTCTTCGCCTTTACCTACTTTTTTTCTCATACTTGTAACTTAGAATAGTATGTGTTTGGTTTATCTGCTGAATGGCTTTAGCTTCCTGAGTTGGTGTATGATGCCAAAGGTCTGCACCTCTTCTTTCCTTGCTTTTCTCTCCTGATCAGGTGACCTAGTCAGGGAAGGACTCTCTTCTATGTTCTGCATTTTCTCTTACTCCTTTTCTCTGTGCCACACTGAAGCTGAATTTCTTCTTCTACTTGTATGTAAGTGCAATATCTGCTACTCCTGCTTTAGGGGGAAGAGGGACTGCTTGTGTCTTTCTGAGTTTGAATGCTGTAATACTGAGGTGTGCTGAAAAACTGTACTTTAAACTCTAAACTGGCCTTTCTCAATCAGAATCCGAGAGAGAGGGAGAGGGAGAGGGGGAGGGAGGGAGGGAGGGAGGGAGGGAGGGAGAGAGAGAGAGAGAGAGAGAGAGCGAGCCAGCCAGCCAGCCAGCCAGCCAGCCAGCCAGCCAGCCAGCATTGTGTTTTCACATTCATGTGTGTTTGTGTTTATAATATAAACATACACAACTTATTGCCTGAGGAGTGCTTCTGCCAGCTGTGGTTGCTTAGGAGATGGGAGGGCAGGCCAAGGAGATCCTTGCCCATGAGAGAAGGGTCTGGAGCAGGAAGTAAGCCTGCCTCAGGCTCATGGGGAGCAGCACAGTAGTGATTCCACATGCCTGGCGTTAAACAACCGGTGATGGCCCTAGTCTTGCACCCTCCTTTTATCACATACTCCATCCATGATTTAAATGGGCACTGGCCACTGAAGTGAAGGGGTGAGAAACTGACCCTGGTCAGTGAGCTGCAAGAGGAGGAAGTGGTGGGCCACCGGTGGAGCCTCAAGAGGCAGAGGTGGCCAGTCTCTGGGGCACAGTGCTGGGACAAAGAAGAGGCAACTGCTGCCTTCATACATGGCTGGTGGACCCTTTCCATAGGCAGATCAGACTAGGCTAGAAGGGCCTTTTCTCTCTGTACCTGCAAAGCAGTTTTTATAGGAAGGGTGGTTATTATTAATATGGCATATTATTAATATGCCATATTAATAAATAATAGCAAATTAATATAAAATTAAATGTTGCGGTACTTCTGAGTGCATGTGCATAGGCTGAACTGAGAGGCTGTGATTGTGGTTGTTGTTTATATTAATTTTAATACAGTGGTTTCCTGAAACATGGAAATTATTTCGGGGGTTCCTCCAAGGTGAAAAGGTTGAGAAAGGCTGCTCTAAATTATTATTCTAAAATTTTGTAAACTATCCTGAGATTTTTAATGATATAAACATTGGTTATAAACATTGAGTCTGACTGCTGTTTCTGTATGCTATGATGTGACTTGGTGTTTTTATTTTTACATTTTCTTCAGAAGTAAAGTAGAGGCTGTATGTAAAATTAAGTATGTCAGGATATACCTAAATGCTAAAATTTTGTTCCAGAGTCAGATAACTCATTAATTAATGTATTAATACTGAATAAAGCAGCACATAAAACTTCAGAACAATGAATTAATCATTCCCCAAAGCAGTATGTTTAGTCTAATGTTGGAGTATTATGAGGATGATGGTTGGCATTTTTTTCATAAGGTCCATCTGGGCTACCCATGCATGAGGGTGTTCACAAAGTTAAAAATCATCAGGCCAGTTCTCTTCTTGCTTATATAAGAGAATAGGATTATCGCTACGGGCATTTCTGAAGAAATGGAGTATTAAAACTTAAAATCAGTACCACCTGTGTCTGGAAATGCTGTGGAATCTGGCACATGGAGGGTTAGATCTGCCAGATGCTGTTCCCAGGAAGAGTGGTGTCACAGATGTTCTTCGTTATTTTTTTTTCTCTTGCTTCGCCTCCCTTTTGTGCAAGGATCTTTAATAGAATGTGGCAGTTCTGATGCAAGAGATTTTAGGCTAGAGCAAGATATTTGTTGCTCTGAGGTGTGCGCTCCTGTAGTTGGCCCTAGCAATTATTAACTTGTCACTAGCAGTGGCCCTGCCATTCCTTCTGTATGGCTTGTAAGGATTGTTCAAAGTCCACGGGACTGGCACGGAGTCACCAGGGGTGAGACTAACCTAAGCACACCCTGCACAAGCTAGCCACGGAGGAGATTCTTTTGTGCCAAGTAAATCAGAGCTGCAGGTTCATGAACGCAGGGTCTGTCCTTCATAGGTGTTATAATGGTAATATACAACCAGTAGACAATTTTTTATAGCATGAGCAGTTCAACATTGTTCGCCAATAACACTCAATGTCTTAAACTGTCAGGGGTAATAGATTGCCGCCCTGTGGCAAGTGAGGTAAACAGTAATTAAAACATGGAATGTAAACTTGATTGGACCTAATTTTCTTAACTGGAAAATTTTGAATTTTATAGTTTCTTTAATCTGCTAAAAATCTTCTGTATAACTCAAAAATTCACATAATCTGGCAGGGCTTGGTCCAATAAATATCACTGTGCCTTTTTGCATTATGTCTTTGGGAGTACTAAATCAAGAACAGCATGGTGTCAAATTGATCAGGAACCGCCTCTGGCAATGAAATAAATGCCCATGTCCGTATTTTATTTTTTTGTTCTAAATACATGAAAATGTAAATAAATACAATTAATTATAAATAAAGCAGTCTTCTGTGGGCCATACTCTTAATCACCAAACAGAAGAAATAGTTTTCTGTAGAAGGATGAGTACAGAGGTAATTCCAGAATCAAACTAAAGGCTCAGCTATTATTATTTCTTCTCACAGATATCAAACCATTTGGCTTGTCCATTTCAGCTTCCCTCAAGGCATTTCTCATCCATACTCATACTAGAAACTAAAATTTCAATTACTTTGCACTACCTGCTTTTGCTACTAATAACAAATTTCCAAACCGCACTTTATAGGTTATGAAGGTGAGGTAATTTAATAGCCTAATACAATCATTCAGCACTTTTGCAAATCATATATTGAGCGACTTTCCCTCCATATATGCTTAAAGTTGGTGTTTAAAGCCAGTCTTTTTCAAAATTGATATGACTGATACCATCAATTCTGTTTACTTCATGTGAGGCAAGATATCATCTATACAGTTGCTTATTCCATCTATCATCATGATGGAACCTAGCTACCAACTAGCGGTTTTTGGCAGACTCATAATGTATTTTCCGATTTGAAATAACTGCAATGTTCTAGCTTCCCTGAGTATTTTTGCCCCATCAAATAAAATTGTTAAGCAGTTTTTGGCTTTTTTTAAACCAAGTTCAGTTAATCAGTAAAAGGACAGTGTAGAAACTTTTGAGGTAGAAACAACTTCTTTTTCACCAATAAGGATGAGTAAGGAGTCAATTAAACTAACATTTCATTCATCCTGTCCTTCCAGATCTCCTTAAATGTAAGGTCTTCTTAAACCTACAAACTTGCTACTTGTAGAAGAACTTCACTTAATTTGATTCTCTTAAATGTTTAACCTCTCCATCCCAGTTTGTGTGTGTGTGTAAATGTGCAGTTCCTTTTCCATGTTCCACATAATGCACATTAGTTCTGATTTGTCCATGTACATGCAATGCATGCTTAAATGTGCATTTTTTTTGTCATGTGAGAGTTGGCTGTAGTAAAGTTGCATCAGATATTCTTAAGTTTTAATGATTACTCCTTAGAGTGAGTTGCATTCTAAAGCTACCTGCATTTTATTTGAGGAGCTGAGAGACGTTCGGTGAATGAATCCCTCTCTGCCTGCTTTATGTCCTGCCACCTTGCATGCAAAGATGGCCTGCAATACCATCCTGCTTCTGTGGCCGTTATTTAATACAGGAGAGGAGAAAGACATAAAGGAGAAAAATGGCAGGCTGCCTGCTTCTTTCTGTTCTTGATACTGAGTATCTTAGGGTGGAGTGGGTGTACAGTGGTACCTCGGCTCACAAACACCTCAGTTCATGACCAAATCGGATCATGAACAGAAATTTCAGAAAAAAATTGCCTCAGGTTGCAAACTCCACATCAGGTGACGACCATGATTGTGCCTGTCTTCCCTGCACGAGCACGCTCGCGGCCATCTCCCTCAGCCCCCCCACCACAATCGCACAATTATCATTTGGACTCTCCCTCCAAACAATAACCCCCCCCCCCACCTAGGTTAGTGTTCTCTACTGTATTGTGTTACTTTGTTGTTACTTTGTTTTAAATTTTTGAGATTAAAAAGATATTTACAGAACAGATTAACCTTAATTTACACTAAACCTTATGGGGAAATTTGACTTGGCTTATGACCAAAATCATCTCGCGACCACGTTTGTAGGGGTCAAAACAGATTAACCTTATTTACATTGAACCTTATGGGTCGCAGCCAGAGTCGTGGAACGGATTAAGTTCATGAGCCAAGGTACCACTGTAATATGGAGAAGACAGAGGGCACCCTTGACCATGCCAAACTTGATTGCACTCATGTTTTCAAAGGGAGAGATATTTCATGAGTTGTGCTACTATAGGAGCCAGGGACTCCATTGTGCAACCAGGAAAGTGAAGTGGGGAGAAACAGCATGCCAGTGTCAGTGGTAAGGCCCTTGCCAATCAAGTGCAGCTCTCACACATTGAGATGGGGGGCTTGTTCTAGTCGTGATTCATTGGAACCAGAAAAGGGCAACTTTCAAAACTGGAACTGAGCCTCCTGGCAGTCTTCCTTCCTTGTTCATGATTACTTCTTTCCACTCAGAATTTCTGGGTAGACCAGAAGGGTAGCAAACAGGGCTACTGCAGGGTACTACATTGAGACCATTTCCTCCCAAACAACACTGCCAGTCCTTTGAGATCTGTTGGACAGGTGCTTCTCTGTGCTGGCTTTGTCTGGGGTGCTCTTAGCAAACAGGTTGTGGAACTGCCTGCCTTGGGAAATCCATCTGTCTGCTCTACTTTATTGTTATTTTGCTACCTCCTTAAGCAACTTAAAAGTATCCTTATCATATTTTTATTCAAGTAGTCATTTTAGCATGTTGGAGTGTTCATTTTTTAACAATCACTTTTCTTCTTTGAAGGTTGGTTTTCATTGTTTGTAATGCCTTAATCTTGATTTCTGGTCATCGTTGACATTTTTCAAAAATGAAAAGGCTGGGAAATGATCCTTTTATAGATTTCTGTGGAGAATGGAAATGTATAATGAATATTATTTTCCCTTTTCACTTCAAGATATTAGGGTGATCCAAAAAGAATTTTAAAAGTAGCAACATCATCTCATATGGAGTCTCCCACTACATGTTTTCACATCTCGGTGCAAACTTGCCTTTCTACAGAAGCATTCGCAGAACTTAATTATATAAGCTATACTGTTTAAATGAATGAGATATAGAAATGGATACTATAATAAATAGGTGCTTAACTACCTCTCAGAAAAATGTCTATTTGTGATCAACTTAATTTGCTTCTTTCAGGTAGCAAAAGATGAGCGCAGTGATGTGGAAAGTAGCTCTGAAGAGGAAGATGTGACTTCAAACAATAGAAAAGGAATTCTTAGCTCTTCAAGCAGTGATGCCAATCGAATTAATGGTCATGTAACTAGTGAGCAGTGGGCAGAAGAGGAGTAAGAATCGGGAGCAGGGCAGTCTTCAGCAAATACAGACTTGTATTCAAGTGTTTAGATTTGTCCACTCCTCAGTCCCAAGAAACCTTTAATCGAACTGCCCCTTTGGCCCCAAATTCTCCAGCAAATCTGAAACTGGCAGAGTGCAATTTTGTACAGAAGGGATCAAGCTTACTAGTGCAAATGCTGTTTCCAGTTTCACCCTTAAAGATAAGCATTTTGTATTTCATAGAGTGTTTGACTGAATCTGCGTGCGTGCGTGTGTGTGTGTGTGTGTGTGTGGGCGGGCAGGCGGGCGGGCGGGCGGGGGTGGGTCATGGTTTGTTGTATTTTAATTGGTTGAAGCTTAAGAGGAAGCACATTTGGGCTGAGGCCCTGGTTTCAAACAGGTTCTAACTGCTCTCTGGGATTTTTGGACAACATGGTCTTGTCTGCTTTGAGAGATTCCATGCTCTTCTCAGAAAGGTCCAAAATGATGTCCTGGGCTGTGCCATGAGTGATGTAGCAACCTGGTGGTTGTTACCGAAATGTTCTGACTGAAGGATGTGTTTATTAGCACATGGCATTGCAATAGTAAATAAAATTTTATGCCTTTTTTTTTTAGGGGGGGATCAGAGTGAGAAACAAAGCTGGCATTCATTTCTTTTTGTTTTTTGTTTTTTTAAGTGGAGTAGCATCTCCAGAGTCGTCATTGTGATCCTAAAACCATCCACTTTTCTTACAAATTCTATGGATTGAAGTTATATAGGAATTACAGAAAGAGGTGGATAGATTTGTGAACTAAGATGACAGACATGGATGATCCAATAGAGGCAAGTTGACAACTCTGTATTTTCAGAAAGAAGCAAGAGTGCTGCATCTGATTTAGAGTCTCGTGGTGCGATACCCCTGGGATGGAGAGGTTTCTGCACGTACTTTCTGGTTCTCTCCTCCTCCCCTTTTTACTCAATGGTACTTCAGGGTAGATGGAAGACAGCCAAGTGTTGTCATGACCAGGACTTTGAAAATTCCCTGAATTATTATCATTTTATACTATTGTTTACTCTGTGATTAAAAACACTGCTTGAAGAATAGACTCTGTGAATTATGCTTTACTGAGGACAATCATCTGAATTTGGGGCTTATATTATGCTAATGTGTTAACCATTGCCAGTAGTACAGGATTGAGATGATGAACTGGCAATTTGAACATGGCATAAAATGGGTGTCTATTAATGACATTAGTTCAGTAGGCATTGCTGTTGATCTGATCCTATTGAAGGTCTTATATTAATATGAACTATATTCAGCATTCACATAGAGGTGCTGACTTTCATAAATTGAGCTTCTGTAGGACTTCAATAGCCTGGTATACTCCCAAGGAACACATGGGGCCACTGAAATATGTGATGGCTCTCAATGTCACATTTCATGTTTCAAAGCATGACTTTTGGACTTGAATGTGTAGTTTTTTGAGAAATTGACTCAAACTGTTACTTACCCTTTTATAATATTGTTACAGTGGTTCCAACTGTTCTTGGATCACAACCCTTATTCAGAAGAAATGGCTCTCCATCTCTGAATAGTCAACTGAGTGTTGTACTTTTTTTGATCAAAATGCATGCAAAATTTTAGTCTTTTCTATTCATAGTTCTTTGATGAAAAAATTTATCTACAGCCAATCATTTCAGGCATCTTTTTATTTATTACTCAAAATGCCCAAATTGGAAATACAGCTAGATAGCAAAGGATATCTAACAGTAATTTACATATTTCGATGCTTTGGCATTTAGAACAGAAGTATGAGTATAGTGGAATTTTAACATGGCAGTTAAGAGATAGATGCAAAATTTTCACAGCCTTTCCTTGATTCATGCCAAAGAAATAAGAATAAGATGTGACCCACTTAAGGTTAGTAGATTGAAATATAGATGCTGGTAAGCCTTAGGACCAAGCCACATGCATCTAATTCCTACCAACTCTGTAACATCTAATGCAAACACTTCTCCTGTTACAGCATTGTTTCCCCACCTGTGCGCCACTATTGGCAAATGGAGGAACATTGTCATGACAATGGGGCAGATTCTATCAAATACCAAGCAACTTTGTATTTAACATAACATCTAGTTGGTTGTCAGTTTGGGTGCCCCCACTTCTGCCTGCTTCCAGGCAGAATCCAGAAGGGAAAATACAGTGGTACCTTGGCTCATTAACTTAATCCGTTCCAGGACTCTGATCATGATCCAAATTGGTTGTGAGCCAAGTTAAATTTCCCCATAAGGTTCAGTGTAAATAAGGTTAATCTGTTCTGTAACTGTTTTTAAATCAGAAAAATGTAAAGCAAAGTGACAAAGAACAACAAAGATCATGGCCATCTCCCCCCCTCACCCTGAGCATGAGTGCGGCCATCTTCCCGCCCCCCAGCACAACCACGATCTCACCTGTCATCCCTGCATGGGGCCGTCATCCTGGTGCACTCGGGGAAGGGAGAGGGGTGCGATCGCGGGCGCACTTGGGGAGGGGGGGGATGGCTGGGATCATGGTTGTGCTCCTACAGGAAAGACAGGCGCAGTCACGGACACGCTCATGCAGGAAAGACGGGCAAAAACTCGGCCATCTCCCCCCCCCCCCCGAGTGGGGAGATGGCTGCAATCGCGCTTGCCACTCAATGTGGACTTCACGACCTGAGTAAAAAATTTTATGGAATTTTTGTTCGCAACCTGATTTGGTTGTGAACTGAGGCGTTCGTGAGCCGAGGTACCACTGTACTGTCTTCCTCAAGGTCATAATACAGGAATGGCTAGCTTTCCAACATAATGCTCCAATTTCTTCAACAAAGTTTAATCATTGCATAAATATTGCTTGCTACGTAGGTAACAGTGCTTCAAAAATACTAAAAGTATTGATGGCATTCCTTGGAAAAGTAAGGATGGCATTCTAGATCCTTTAGGATTACCCTTCCCACCTGAAGAAGGCAGGGCCAACCTCACTTTCCATTCTCCTAGATCAGCCCTGCCTTATGCCCAGGCAACAGGACATGTGCTAGACTCTAAATAAGCCAGCCACAAATGCTTTTCTTTTACTGTCCTCAAGCATTCTCCTTCGATCACTTGACATGTCCTTTTTAGCTGGAGGGCAGGAGAGTCAGGAAGCAACCTTGAATATAGTTCTTCTTTCCTCTTGCTTACCTCTTGCTGTCACTCCCTTTTATCTGAGGGTCAGGCAGCTAAAAGCAGTAGCAGTTTAGATATGGACACTACTAATAGTAAACTAACTGCACAACTCTTGCAGCCATTTTGCCCCTTCCAGTCCTGCTGATCTCTGAAGCAATAAGTATTCATCCTACTTAGTTTTTTTCTCCTTTAAATGGTCAGGAGGACATAAAAATATAAAGCATTTTGTGAACACATCTTTTAGGGGTATATACCATTATCAGTTCCTATTTACAGAAACCAGGAGAGAAGCTGCAAGCAAGATATTTAATGGCTACAGAATTCCACAGGTGTTTCCATCTTTTTAAACATCACAGTTCACAATGCCCTCGCTTTGTGGTGAGATCTGCAGAGCTGCACTTTTGATAGGAGTATCTGCTGCAGTGTATTGGTGCCATGTTCATTAAACATCCTATGGAGGGAGATTGGGATTCTGTTCAGTCCTTAACAGCTGCTGTGTTCATCTCTTGCTGTTCAAGTTGCTTCAGTGCTTGCTTGTTCAGAAAATGCCTATATCCTCTGACACTACAGAGGTAGCCACCATATAGTGTAAGGAGTATCATGGAGCTTGAAAATGCCTTGTAGCCAAAATCAGCCAACTGCTTTGCAGAAACCATTACTGCTGTGGAGAAGGCAAAAAACTGAATCACTATTTAAGTCTACAAAAGCCAATAACTAACAACACCTCACGGCAATTATAAAAACAACATGTGTATACCCGTACAATAACCATTTAGCCTTCCCCAATTTAGTGCTCTTCAGATATGCTGGAGTGTAACTCCCATCTTCTCAGCTATGATGGCTACTGTAACTAAGCATACCTAGAAGGCACCAAGAAGGGAAAGACTACCATGCAATAGTGAAGGGAGTATTGTCTGACAGCATCACAGATGCATCAGCTGAGGCTGATCCAACTTGAAACCCAGCTAAGACATGACCCTGTGCATGTTAAGATAGAAAAAAAGTGCAAAGTCCCTGCAAAGTCACAGAAATACAAGAAGAGGAACTTAGTAATCCCGTGGAAAGCAAATGGCTTAATTTAAAAGGAGCAAACAAATTAAAAAATGATTGGCCTCTATTACTGACCACCCAGTCAAAAAGAGGACAAGAATGTAACCTTTGAAAAGAAACTTGACTACGTCATTCTTGAAAACACTCATCTGCTGACAGCTTCCTCCAGCAGAAGGTAGAGGGAAGAAGGAAGGAACAAGAGGATCAGCCATCCTCAACTTAATACTAACAGGGATGACCTAGTGGACAAAGTAGCAGCCACGGAACTTCTGGAGGAAAGTGACCTTGTGAATATAGTTGAAAATTCAAGTGACCTTCTCAGCTATAAAGGAGACAAAGGTTACCTGTAGCATACATACTCTGGACTTCAATAAATCCAACTTAGAAAACTTAACAAACTTAGAAAAAATTATAAGCGAGGTGCCATGGCAACTCAACTCTTCAGAGAAAAGGGAGTCCAAGAGGAGCAGGAAAGCTTGAAAAAGATTCTTCAAGCACAACTACAAACAATTCCAACAAGAAAAAAGTGTAGAAGAGGAAGCTCGCATGGCTCCACGAAAAGTGACAACCTGAAAGAAAAAACATGTACAGGAGATGGAAGCAGGTCCAGGCCACAAAGAAAGACTAGAAACACATGGCAAGAAAATCTACAACAATGAGGAAGTACAAGCTGAATGTGAGAGATGGCAGCCCAAGATTGACAGACAAAAGGTTAAGGAATTCCTAGACTGAATAAACACTTTCAAATCTCCAGGGCCCATCCCAGAGTCATAAAAGGGCTAGTGGAGGAACTCTCAGAACTACTGGCTATTATCTTAGATAAAACTTGGAAAACAGAAGTGCCAGATGACTGGAAAAGTTGTCCCCATCTTCAAAAATGAACCTGGGAACTACAGACCAATTAGTCTGACATCAATCTCTGGAAAAATTCTGGAGAAATTTACTAAAAAATCAGTCTGCAAGCAGCTGAAAAAAATGCAGTAATTAATAAAAGCCAACATAGATACATCAAAAATAAATCCTGTCAGACTAATTTAATATTTTGACCAGGTTACCTCCCAGACAGAGGGAACAATGTGGACGTATTCTACCCCAACTTTAGCAAAGCTTTCAACATAGTGCCCCCATAACATTTTGATAAGCAAACTAGCAAAAAGTAAACTAGATAGAAAAACTATTAGGTGGGTACAAAAATGGCTGCTAAATCAGACACAAAGAATGCTCATCAATAGCCCCTTCTCACACTGGAGGGAGGTAACTAGTGGGATGCTGCAGGGTTCAGTCCTAGGCTCAGTGCTCTTCAGCATCTTTATCTTAGAAACAGCGTGAGTAAGAAGAGGGTTAGGGTTTCCCTGGCCATCTAGTCTGATCCCCGGCTCCAGCCAGCTCCACTCATGACATGCCTACCATGTGCATGTCCAGCCTATCCTTGAACACCCTCACCAATGGGGCTTCAACCACCTCCCAAGGAAGCCCATTCCATACCCTAGGGTTCCTGTCAGGAAGTGCTTCCTGGCATCCACGCTAAATCTTGGTTCCCTGAGCTTTGCTCCATTGGAATGCGTCCTGCCCTCCACTGCAGGGGAAAAAAGGTCATGCCCACCTCTGCGTGGCACCCCCTCACATACCTGTATGTTGCTAACAGGTCCCCTCTAAGTCTCCTCCTCTCAAGGCTGGAAAGACACAGCTCCCTCAGTCTCTCCTTATATGGCTTACCCTGCAAACCAGCCACCATCCTAGTGGCCCTTCGCTGCACTGATTCCAACCTTGCTATATCCCTCTTGTATTGAGGAGCCCAGAAATGAACACAAAACTCCAGCTGCGAGTGCACCAGAGTTGTACGGGTTAGGGGACAAGTGGCAGTAATACCTCTCTCAATCTAGAATCTACGCTTCTGGCTATGCATCCAAGGGTGGTGTTCACCCTCTTGACTGCGGCGTCACACTGCTGGCTCATGTTTAGCCTGCAGTCGACTAGCACCCTGAGATCCTTTTCACAAGTGCTACTCTCCAGCTACTTGTCCCCTAACCTGTACTTATGACGCCCATTCCTATGCCTCAAGTGCATTTATCTGCATTGAACGCCATCCTGTTGTCCCCAGCCCACTTCCATAGTCTGTCCGGATCCTTTTGGATCTGGAGTACCTGTTCCTCAGGTGTAGCCACACCCCACACCCCCCGCATTTTAGTATTGTCTGAATTTGATCAGACTGGTCATTCCCTCCTCCAGGTCATTGATGAAAAGATTGAACAGGATTGGTCCCAGAACTGAGCCCTGGGGGACCCTGCTCATTGCCATCCCAATGATTCCCCACTAATTGTAATCCTCTGGTTTTCTGTCAGAGGAATATGACAGTGAAACCAGTTGCCTATAGAGGCTGTGGGCTCTCCCACACTGGAGACATTCAAGGGGAAACTAGACCATCACCTGAATGGGATGATGTAAACTGGTGTCCTGCAACAGCAGGGGGTTGGACCTGATGGCCTTCATGGCTCCTTCCAACTCTACTATTCCATGATTCCCAGCATGCCCCATGCTGGCTGAGGCATGTTTGGAATTGTAGTTTTTTTCCTTCTACTAGCTTGCTCCTTCAAAACTTATCTTTTCCACACTACCTTACACCAGCATATGTTTGATGTAGTATAAGATCTTTTTACTTTCTCAATGGTTTAAAACTGGTTTAGAGAAAAGGAAGAGATGTTTGCTGTCTCTTTCCAGATGGGGCCCCCCATTCAGAATAATTTAGTGACATGGTCAAGATGCAGGCAGTTTCCCATTTTAAGTAGGAAAATACATGTACAAAAAATATCAGGATGTGCACTGGCAATGAAGTGCTTGCTATTATGAACATCCTCAGAAATCATAAACCACACAAATGTGCAGTGGCCCTTTGACCTGCTTACATAGGCAAGAAATGTCAGTGGTTTTCCAACCCATCTTTATTTAGTGTGTTGAGTCTCTGTATTTCTGTAAGAAAAAAACTCCAGCCACCTTGATGCTTATCACATGATTGATCATATGCTAGCACTCAAAAGAACTGATCACAGGATTTCTATTACAGTAAATACTCACAGGACAAGAGGTTCCTCCCCAAGAAAGTACATTAAAGGAATGGATCAGAAAAAGAGCAAGCTCTGCTCTTGGGAGAATCCCTGTTCTATTAGAAAATCACATTTTAGAAAAATAGTTGAAGCTTGAATCTATCCTCAGAAGCAATTCCAGTTCTCATCTTCTACCTTGGGAATTTTCAATTGCACATTAACTTGCCCCAACTTTACACTGCCTAGCATGAACATTCATTTCTCTGGTGGAGAAGGATTCTGATGCTAATAAATAAGAGGTCGATACTTTTTCAGAGAATTGGGGTGAATAATTACTAGGGCTGGAAAGGCAAATGGGCAAATTGATGGGGAGGGTTTTGGGCCTTGTGGATGTTCAAAAGACCAGGCAAAAGTAGAAGACTAGAAGAGTGTGAATGTTAATGTTAGTTTCATTGCCTATTTGCAAATGAATTCTTTTTAGCAGTTAATGCTTCCCTGACTAGAGTTCAAACATTCTAAATTCACTGTTTGCATTAACTAAAAGCATCTTACGCAATTATAAGGGCTTTTGAATTTACATTTATTCCCTCTTCCTTGTCTTCCCTTCCCCACCTTCATATAAACCTCTTGTGAGTTTACATGTTCTCCCAGCTCTATACTGCTGAGCAGTTTTAAAAGAGGTGAAGCAAGGAAGATATTAAACCTTTGGTGGTAATTTGAAGCATCTACCTGCTTACATTATAGTGTGAATTCTTGTAGGCCACATTATAATAGACATACTGAAGGAGGTGAATTTTTCCTTCTATATACATGCATATTAATGTGCACTCCTGAATACACCAGTTTTAATACAGCAAAAATAATTTTAAGTAAATATAAAAACTATTCTAGTGCACAAGTAGGGCCTGCAATAAAATGATTCGCTGTGTGATAGTATTGTTTGGAATCCCAACTAGCTAGCTGCGTCCTTTTCCACAACAGTCCATTTCATTCCCCCTTCTCCAAAGATACTCACCATTCTGTGCCCACTAAGTGTATCCAGTCCTCACTAAACTGTTTTAGGCCTCAGCCCAACTCACCTGTGTCAATGCCTACTTTTATATCCTCTTTATGCATGAATGTTGTGGTTTAATGTGGCTACATTAAAATACCAACACTCTTGATAGCAATACATACAAGTACTGAGCTATTGCTGAAGGCAAATCAAGATTTGATAGTGATTCCAGGTTGGCAGCTCCTCTTTCTCCAACTGTCTTTTGTGGTGCAGTAACTTAATAGCACTTAAATAGGCTAACAATGCAATCCTAAATTTCTACTCATTAGTAAGACTGAGTTTAATAAGTTTACTCCAAGGTTTTGCTGCCTGATTGGATCTTACTTTTCAAGTTCATTCCTCAAATCAACAAGCAACATTTTAAAAATATATGGATACACTTAAAAGTACATGCACAAAACTAAGTTAGCTTTGCTGGAGCAAGACTATTTATTTCAATTACTTCCCTCTTCTGGCACCTCTCATGGAATTTTTCCCATTACTTTCTGAATATTTTAAATTTCCCCATTTAAATCAATTTGTTATCTTTTGGGTGAATGGTGCCTAACAGCTAGTTAAGGTCTGCATAGCAAGATAAATGCTTGCACAGCATCAGTATAAAAATGAGGTTATGCTTAATCGTAGCCATGTTTATTTGCAAGTTAGATTCATTGATTTTAGTGGGGCTTAGAGTGCGCTGCGAAAATGAAACAGCTGGCTGGGGGGGATGAGCAGAAGTGCCCCACCTGCTCGTAGGAGGGAATGGTTGCCTCTGGGCCTTCAAGGCAAGGTCGACCGTTTACAGACAGCTCCAGAATCAGGCATGTGGGGGGCATACTTGCATTCAAGGCCTCTCCGTGGAAGTGACCTATGTCAACCTAGACCTCACGGTGCCTCGCTCCCCTTAAAAATTATCTTCCAATAGAAAACTAATCTAACACGGAGAAAATGTTCTAGTGCAACCTTTGTGCACTTCTGGTTTTCTACATACCGTAGAGACATTCGGTCATCGTTTTTAAATGACATTTTATCTTCCCTTTAAGGAACTCAAAAGTGGCAAACAAGACCCGCGGCCCCACTCCCCGCCCTTTTCTTTACAGCAATCCTGTGATAGGTTAAGTGGCCCAAGGTCACTCAGGGAGTTTCGTAGCTGAGTAGGGATTTCAATCGAAGTCTCCCAATTTCCGTACAACCCTTTAAACCGCTATCCCGTTTAGAAGCTCCCTCCTCCAATTTTTATTAATACAAGAGAACGGATCTCCTAGCGCCCAATAATCCGAAGCGGCGCAGAACACTGCGTCTCATTCTGATGCAGGTAGATAGCAGCTTTCCCTAGCACGGTGCACTCCACTCCAGACAGTTTAAACTACAGATCTCATCGGCCCCAACTATCATGGCTGATGGTAAGAGATGATAGGCACTGCAGTCTCAAATTCCAGAGAGCACTACGTTGGGGAAGACTGGTCTAGAGCCAGCCTTAGGCAGTTACCCTAAGGCTTGCGTGGAGTCCCGACGACATCATCACCCTTATCAAAAGCACGCCATTGCCAAACACTCACTCTAATCAGCGAGGTTCGCCTCGTCCTGTTATCGTGCTGCGCGCGCTGCAGGTAGTTTTCACTTCCGGGTTCTACCCTTTAATAGAGCGCCTCGTGGTAACGCCTCTTTCTCCTTC